TAATAATAATAATAATTATGATAATAATAATAATGATAATAATAATTATAATAGTAATTATAATAAAAATAATAATAAATAATAAAAATAATAATAATAATAATTATAATTACAGGTGCGGCGAGGAACGGACAGTGCCACTGTGTTACAGATCAAGGAACAGTTCCAGAAGCAGATTGAGGAAATGATGAAGAGCGCTCAGCGCCACGAATCGAACAGATTCTCCACCCCTAGCCGTACAGAGACCCCTCGGAGTAGGACGGAGACACCTCGGATTCGGACGGAGACACCGAGAGTGGAATCCTCTTCCTCCAGGTTGTCTGGACTTCAATTAGAGCCTCCGCCAGAGTTCGGAGGATCCGGAGGAGTACCGGAGACAAACAAACGATGGGGTTTGGCTGAGTTCTCTATTGCTCCGGGTGTAACAAGAACACATGGAGCAAAAGCTTGGAACAGTTCTGAAAATATTCTCTCAACGTCCACGGACAAACCTAAGTTTGAAACTAAAAGCTATGGAGCAGATAACAACAAATTGGGAGCGGGGAATTCGAGAAAAACAACAGATTTTTCAAGATTTGGAGCTGAATCAAGATTGGGAGAGGATACTTCAAGCTTAGGAGGTAAAATTGCTAGAGTTGGAGCTGAAAGCAAAAGAGTTGCAGCATCAAATTCTAAACTTGGAGCAGAAATTTCAAGAATATCAGTTGACAAATCTAAAATTTCATCTGAAAATCTTAAGTTTGGAGTGGAAACTTCAAGATTTGGATCAGAGCAATCAAAGTTTGGAGCCGAACAATCAAGATTTGGAGTAGAGAAATCAAGATTTGGAGCAGAGCAATCAAGATATGGAGAAGAGCAATCAAGGTTTGACGTTGAAATCTCGAGATATGAAGCTGAAACTTCTAGATTTAATGATGGGATTGATAAAAAGCTAAATAGTGCCAGGTAACAAAATTTTGAAATTTAGATTTTTCAAAAAATTACATTTAATCTAATCCTGTACAGTAAACAGTAAATTTTAGTAAAACTTTAAAAAAAACTTTGTTTGGCCAGCTATATCTACATCTATATATAGCTGGCCTATACTACAGCTATATCTACATCTATATATAGCTGGCCTATACTACATCTATATCTACATCTTTGTATATAGCTGGCCTATACTACAGCTATATCTACATCTATATATAGCTGGCCTATACTACAGCTATTTCTGCATATCATATAGCTGGCCTATCTACAGAAATATCTACATATGATATAGCTGGCCTATACTACAGCTATATCTACATCTATATATTGCTGGCCTATCTACAGCTATATCTACATATGATATAGCTGGCCTATACTACAGCTATATATACATCTATATATTGCTGGCCTATCTACAGCTATATCTACATATGATATAGCTGGCCTATCTACAGCTATATCTACATATGATATAGCTTGCCTATCTACAGCTATATCTACATCTATATATCGCTGGCCTATCTACAGCTATATCTACATATGATATAGCTGGCCTATCTACAGCTATATCTACATATGATATAGATTCTTTATTTATTCACAGCCAACTCTGCTTTCATAGATTTTTAAGATACAGAGATCTAAACAGCTAAGAAAATGATTCATTAAGTATTTAGACCAGGCAAACTTTGAAGTCTGCTTAGGCTTAGCTCCCTTGATTTGACCTTAACAATCTGAATACTTAGTCATAGCCTGTTTATGAAGATTTAGAAGATTTTTGTTTCTAGTTTCAGTTCTAGAGGATCATTGTGCAAAATCTTGTCCAATTATAAATAATATATAAAATAAAAGTTTAACACTTCAAACGTTTTATTCTTTTTAACTGTAAACTTTTCCAGGACTGATCAGAATTTTACTCCGACTCGGACTAACCCTTTGGATGAGAGGTTCCGTGTATCTCAAGGTTCGGAGAAACCGAGCTCAGAGCTGAAACCGCGCGTGAACCTCGGACACCGGGACCAGGAACCCGGAGTAAATTTTCGCAACATTCAACGGGGCAAGTCATTCCTAGAAGCCAGGAGCGCGGTTCAACGACATATAGAGAAGATGTTTATGGACGCTAATGATAAAGAGGAGATAAAAACAAGTCCTTCTGGCAATATCAAGCATACAATGCATGGTGTCAGCCATGTAAGACCAGATGAAGAGGATAAATATTGCACCCCTCCCCCTGTTCATTATGGGGTGGAAGAAGCTCTCAGAGCAAGAAAGGACTCGCCACAGTTTTCTAAGGCACGGATTGCCCTCAGCGATAAATTTGGGAAAACTTCCCCCATTCTCTCTGATTCTGACAAGAGTAAGACGGAAAATTTCAACTCTAGAAGTACTCTTGGAGACAGGTCTTTAAACAGAAAGGAGAAATTTTTTAGTATTGACAGTTTGGACTCTGCCACAACTGGAGCTTCAACCTTTGTTGATCTTGGAAATATTGATATCTCTAAACAAGAAAGAAGGAAGAGTACAGATGCTGAAAGTCTAGCTGCTCAAGTAAGACGAAGAGAACGAAGCAAGGAGGAGGATGCAAACATAAGGAGAATATCTGTACATCAAGATACTTTTGATTTTAATCAAAGCACTCAGGATGGAGAGAGATCTGTCCCCAGTTCTCATGGTAACCAGGAGTCAATAGTTAAGGTTCCGACTAAGTTTACAAGTAGTGTGAGTATACAGAAGACAAAGCAGCATGTTAAACATAAGATTGAATACCTAGGAGCAGTTCCTCTCCGAAGCAAAGCCACAAATCTTGATTCTCTCCAGGTTCCATTGAAAGAATTATATTTAAAGCACAAAGCTCTGCAAAGTCTGGGTCACTCTAATCTGCCTGGAACCCTAGAGATATCTGACACAGGTCTCAAGGTTCAGTACATCAGGGAGCTCCACAAGGGAGTCCAGGAGCTCTTCAACTCATTCCCAACCATAGCAGTTTGGGCAGCGGTCAAGTTTACTCACAAAACTGTGATTTTACCTTCTAGTGAGCGAAGACAGAAATTTGCTTTTGTTCCTCTGATCAGTGATCCGCAAAATGAGGAGAGTAAGCGTGTATTTTACGATCTAGAATATGAAGAAATTAACCTTGCACAGAGTTCCCCTCACCCCCCTGTCTTTGCCTGTGTTATGCGCCGGGCTGGTATGCCTAAACAGCTTGAATGCCATGGATTTATCTGCTCAACTCCAGAGGATGCAATTGTTATTGCTGCAAACCTTTACCAGGCATTAGTAGATACTATGCGAAGACATAAAGCAGCAGGACATCCTAAGACAGATCTGAGTTCCTCACGAAACTTAGATAGGATTGATTTTGCCCGCAGGAGTTCAAGGCGGAGTCGGAATGGAGAACCTCCAGTAAGACCTCCAAGAAAAAGGCGCCCAAGAGGGGAAGAACCCCGAGTTGTTACAGGTTTAGTTAGAAAGCGCAGTGTAAGAAGTAGCACAAGAAGTGCCAGAAGCAACAAAAGCAACAGAAGTAACAGAAGTGCCCGGAGACGAGCAATGAAAACTGTTCAGATAAAAGAAGAAGATGAGCCTCATAATAGACTAAGATCACAGAGATTATCATCTAATGATGGTCTGGGAAATACCAAGTCAAGCGGAGATATACTTACAAAGGTTTCTATTGGCCGGACAAAGAGTTTTGTGAAACCTGGCAATCAGTACAACCTTCAAGAATTGTTCCGGGAATTAAAGGAGAAGGAAGGCGTGGACAGTATTGATGATGTGCTGAAACGTGTCATTCAACCTAATGGAATGTCCTTTAATGACATTAAGCCGGTTTATAGGGAATTACTGCTCAAACTTGCAATGACCATGAGTCAGGATGAAATCTTTGAAAGATCAAAATCAATCATGGCCAGCAATAAAAAGGGTAAAAAGAAGGCTGCAGAAAATGAAAATTCAGGATCTTTAGGCAGTTTCTTTAAATCATTCTCAAGGAGCAATTCAAAATCAAGCACTTTGGCTTCCAAGGCTTCTAAAGGAAACACTATTCCATTGGATAGAAAACCTCCTGTCCCAGCAGCCAACATGTATGTTAAACCAGTAAAATCAACTAAGCCTTCCAAAGGCAAAGGATTGACAAAAGCAGATATAAGCGGTCCTTTACCAATGATACCTGATATCCCTAAACCTTCATCACTTTCCAAGGACCATGCACGAGAGTATCAGTCAGATGATGCATATGTCTCCTGCAGTGAGTGTGCCTATGAGACTGTCTGCACCTATGACACCTGTACCTGTCGGATAAAGAAACCATCCCGTCCTACCATCCAGGATATCCGGAACCTTCCTCCAGTTCAGAATAGTCGGAAACCCACAGAGGTGCCCAGAGAATGCGATGCTGATTCCTGCATCTCGAGTGAGAAATGTTATTGTTCCCTTCGTGGAGATCCTCGTAAAGCTAATCTATCAAATGCATCCGTCTATTCGGAGATAACAGCAGACAGTGGAACTGTCACAGACACATCCTGCTACTCTACCAACTGTTACAGTACTTCAGGTCGCCCTAAATTAGATATATCCACCTGTGAGTCCCCTCTGACAGCCTGGAAACGAAACATGATGCTAGAGAAAGGAGGATCTCCATCAGGAACCTGTTGTTCCTGTTCAGAGTACTCTGATTCACCAGCTCTCTCAAACAGTCTGAAATTCTCCCGGAACCTCCCACCAATTCCAGATGAGGGTTCTATGCGGAGAACTAACTCTGGAGGCTCTGGCTACCAAAGCAATGATTCTTACTCTCATCCTCCGAACTGGCTTCCATCGAGACGGGTTGCAAATGATGGACGAGGATCTGCTGGAAGCTCATGTAGCTCCTCAGCCTCTCCCACAAATTCTTCCATCAGATCTTCCAACTCTCCAACCCATCCCAAGGTTTTAGTTCTCTCTGCTGTGGATCCACGAGGTAACATTGTCTACCGAGGTTCCTCTTCTCAAGAGAACCTGGACCGAACCCCGAGCAAGGATGAGGACAACATCCTCTCCTTGAAAAAATCTGCGGAGATCGCAGCTCTATTCTCCGGAGCTAAGATCAACCAAACAACAGACCTGGTGGACAGATCGGAGTCAGAGTCTTGTTCCTGCTCCAGGAGCTCCCATAGATCTTTACTTTCAAACTATCCTGGAGAACACCTGGGTTATTTCCCATAACGGAACCTGCTCCCTCAATACATCAATATCTTTGTAAAGAATGATGATTGGTTCTCAGGATTGCAAAAAATGACGTAATTAACCACTGATGAACATTTTCCCATAAAGGAATTTAGTCTTTGCCAAAACTCAAAACTTATCATTCCTATATCTGTGCAACCTGATGATGTAAACCTGTGATATTTCGAACTTAGGTTTTTTATCTAACAAAATTCATAAATTAAAATATCTCAGCTCTACGACATTGGGTTGCAAAGATATGGGGATTAGAAAGCTAGACTTTTGCCAAAGACTCAATCCCTTTCCTATTTTTCCAATATTTTAATAAACTTATTTTTTTATTTTCTTTCAACCGTTCGACTGATTGGAAAATCGCCATGAGCAGACTGTTTTTACTGCTGTTGAGTACCTTTAATAAATAGATTATGTATTGTAAATATTAATTAATTTAGTTTAATTAATATTTTAGTTGTTATTATATAGTAAACTAGTGGCCGGACCACGTGCAATAAATAAAGTATTATTTCTCAGGAAGATTCATCAACCATGAGATGTTTTCTACAATCTTTTGTGTGACGAATATCCTGAATGAAATCAATGTAAGGATGAAAAGAAGTTTATTTTTTTTATTCTCTAGATGTTTGTTTTGATGATTTTATGTAAAATGTATTTTTTTCTGAAAATATGCTTCCTTTTGTAGTCTATCCAACTAAATTTATAACAAACACATATTTTTGTGTGATTTTCACTAAAGTTAGTCTTCCAATTTATAGTTTTGTTTTCTTTTTGTGATTTTTGAATCTAAGTTCTTCCCCAACTGTGATATTCTTAATTTTTATTATTTATTATGTTTGACTGTTTTTAATATTTTAGCTGGTTGAAAATATGTAAATGTAATATTTGAAATGTAATGTAATGTTTGTTAAATTGTTTTAGTTTATTCTTTGTTTAAAAGGATTTGTTTTTCTTTGATTTTTTTTTTATGTTTTTATACTAATGTTCACTTGTCTAAGGAAATAAATTTATTTTATAAAATTGCTTCTCATTTCTGATGGGTCGACTGTGGGCGTAACTTCAAGGGATGGTATAATTCACAACGGTACCCTTGAAACCTTGCTTTGATCAATAATGTGGAAGAAATTGTCGTTTTTCTCGGTTTAAAAGTGTTCAATTCTACTAATTTACAAACGTTTTCTGCAAAAGAAATGCTCAGGTTTCTTTTAGGTTTAAATTTATAAACAGTGGATTCTTTAAGATACTCTTGAAAGAACTCAACATAGCAGAAGATTCCAGAACTCAAACTATCTATTTCGCTATTTCCTCTTTCTAAAAAATATGTTTTGTCTGAGTAAGGAATTATTCCTAAAAGTTATATTTTTGTTTTAAAGGTTAAAGGTTTACATATAGAAGTCTTATGTTTTGTGTAACACTTCCAGTTTTATGTAAAGAATGTCGTCTTTAAATTTATTTTTCATGTCAAAGTTAACTTATGTCTAAAGCTATTGTTTGAACATTTTATAAACGTCTAAAAGTCGCCATTTTATTAAAAAATCTAAAAGTTTTGTCAAAAAATTAAATTTTGTGAAGTATGATTTCCGAGTACATTATAAACAATATTGTCTTAAACTTTAAATAATGTCTAAAGAGTTTTTATTATTATTAAGGTCAAGGCATCCTTTAAAAAGAAAATTTTTGTCTGAAAGCTGCAGTTTTATCCGTCTGAAAGTTTTATTTTTTCTTTAAGCGTTCAATTTGTATAAAAATATGCGCGGTTTCACCTAAAATTTACAATTTTGTCTTAATGCTAAAGTTCTGTATAAAATGTATGGAAATTTAAAAAGATAAATTATAAAGATGATTTTATAAAGATAATTTTAAAAATATGATTTTATAAAGATAATTTTATAAAGATAAATTTATGAAGATAATTTTATAAAAATAATTTGATTTTATAAAGATAATTTTTTAAAGATAATCTTATAAAGATAGTTTTATAAAGATAAATTTATGAAGATGATTTTATAAAGAATGATTTTATAAAGATAATTTTATAAAGATAATGCTAGATTTGTAAAACGACGTTGTTTGAAGTTGTAGTCCGGTAGCTGTTATAGTTAAAGGTAAGAATGGAACGTTCGTTTCGTTAAAGGTATTTTTCATTTTTTTAAAGTTACCCCTAGTTAACGTTCTCAATTTTATTAACTGCGTTAACTAAAGATATTGTGCCGTTAGCATTTTTTGCAATTAACGGCATTAGTTATCAAGGAATTGCGCGAAGTGCAAAATAGTTTTCGTTAACAGTTTGTCAAATCGTTAACGGTGCAAGCCGTTAACGGTTGTTTGTAGTGTGAGTGGTGTTAACGGTTAACAGTTATTACGGCACAAACTATAACCAATTTGCAAAAAAAGTGTTTTAAAGTTCCACAATATAAATAGGGGGGACTGAAGACGACATAAAAACAACAAAATACATTTTAGAATTTTTTGCTGTGGTTGCAAGTTTCATGCAATTTTAGTCGAAAGAAAGAACGAAAGTTGCCGTTTTTAAAAAATCCATCTGTTTCGTTTTCGTTTTCAACCGTTAATTTAAAAAAAACGGCTGATTAGTTTTGTTATAAATTTAAAAATTACCCATTTTTGCCGTTCGTTAACGAACTCTTTCGTTAATTTTAAAAGACCTCAGTTGTTGTTGTTGTTGTCTTTGTTGTCGTTATTGCTCCTGGGGAACAAGCAACAAGACAGAGTACAACAAAATATATAAAGCCTTTATAAATTCTATCTGGAGAAGATACAGGGTGTCCCAAGAAACATGACAGTTGGTGAATAGTTTAAAATGTCTTCTTCCATAATTAGTTAAGTTGTTTGATATTCAAGAGAATGATGAAAAATATTGTATGCCAATGATATTATTGTAAAATTGATTTCAAAGTAAAATATATTTGAGAAAAAGATGTTTTTAACGAAATGACATGCAAAAAATCTTTAATATCCAATATAGTATATGGAAGAAGACATTCAAAACTATTTAACAACTGTCATGTTTCGTGGGACACCCTGGATATGAACAGTTGAGGAGGGTTGCTTACATTTGGATGTTACTGTGTACAGTGTACATGTTACATACTAAAATATTGTCGAATGCATTAGAAGCAGATGTTCTGGACTGGTGTAAATAAATTATGAAAACAAATCATTCAGCTTATACTCAGCTATACATTAAAAACTATTGTATTCAATTAATTCATTAGCTAATTTTTCACATTATTTATGTACACTTATATTAATGAAGGGATGGGGTAAAATAAAATGGAACAATTTTCCTGCATTACAGTTTAAAAAAGTCGTTCCGGATTTGATCTGGAATTCTGGAACCTTTTACAAAGTGAAAATGGATGGAAATGGGAAAAAATTCTGGATCATTTCCGTACGAAAACTTTTTACAGTTTAAAAAGTCGTTCCGGAATTGATCCGGAATTCCGGAACCTTTTACATAATGAAAATGGAAAAAATTCTGGATCATTTCCGTATGTAAACTTTTTACAGTTTAAAAAGTCGTTCCGGAATTGATCCGGAATTCCAGAACCTTTTACATAATGGAAATGGAAAAAATCGGATCATTTCCGTACGTAAACTTTAACCCGGAATTCCTCATGGAAACCCTAGTTGTGGACCTTTGAAAATTCAGAATAATCTGCTATATAAAAAATGCAAAGCTTAAAATGAAATAAGTTTACACCATAAGGACGCAAAGATAAAATGATTATATGAGGTTTGAGTTTGCATATTTTCAAACAGAAGCGCCATTTTAAATTTGTTTAATTCAAATTCTTTACTGTTCTATCACTTTTATTAAAAACTGGAGAAGCTTAAGGTAACAACTTTGTCTGAACATCATGGCAGAAATGTTTTTGATTTTCTATTTTTAAATTCATAATTTTCAGTTGTGTTGTTTCTATAAAACTGGCTGGAAGATTTTGAATTGATAAAATTGATCTGTTTTCATGCACGATAGAAGAAAGCAACGATATCTTCTAAATTAGGAAATGGTTTAAAGTATTCCGATTTTGATTGGTTAGGATGTGACTTGAGATATTTGACCCCCCCTGCGTTTTCTCCATATCTAACTAGATAACTAGATAACTAGAGCTGAACTTAAACTTCTTAATTTTTGAACTAAACACTTATTTTTTGTAATGCAAGGGTAGGGTAAAGGACGGTCAACCAGCTGGTTGGTAATTACAAAAAATCTAAAATAGTCCAACATTGTTTTATTATTTGAGACACAGATCTAAACTTTAATTATAATAAGCCCTTGAATAATGAATGTAGTAACTTGTGCAACATGTTTAAATTTATCAAAAATAAAATTTAAGTATTCTGAAAATATTTGAAATTGTTGTGTCCCAGGGTGTCCCACATCAAATTAGACCGCGTCAATGGGTCTAAATTACGATTTGAGGGAAACATCGGAAAATTTAAGAAGAATGAATCAATTTGAAAAATTTAATAAGGCTAATAGAATTTTTTTGCAGAATATGCTAGATTTTTCGAGTATTATGTCCGTATTTTGGCTTTAAAGATTTTATATATTCTAATATGATATGGGACGCTCTGTATATAATAAAGCTCTCCGCTTATATATAAATATTTAAATTTTAGCACGCTATAGCTGGTCCAACGACTGGACTAAATTGGCTGAATTTTTTTAGGTATCCTATGGGTATTCTGGGGGTAACATCTTTTATAAGATGGATTTTTTTTAAAAATTCCACGGGCAAAGCCGTGCACTTGAGCTATTTGTAAATATAATTTGAGTTTTTAGATGCTTTTAGTGTTTATACTACACTATAACTTGGTCGAAGTAAATTAAGGAAAAGTACAAAATTCAATTAATGAACAGCTTTGATTGCAGGGGAAGAAAGTTATAACCCGTGATTCGGCCCAAACCTGACACTGATCGTGTCAGGTGTGGGCCATCTGTGAAAAGCTATCTTTTTTAATTGTTCATATTTTTCAATTTTAAGCCAAATATATCAAGCTAGTTGTGAATGAGATATATTTATATATGTGTATGCAAAGTATTGTAAATAATATATTGTATACAGGGTTACCAAAAAGATGAGACTGCAAAGACGACCTGAAACTTTTTAAATATGATGTTATCAAGGTAATATTAAGTATTCGGTCATGAATATAGGGTTTTTATGCCTTTTAAAACTTATACAAAGAAAAATTTAAATCTACAGTTGATAGGAATCCTATATAAGGAAACAGACAGTGTTAATTTCATTTCGTACAGTCGTCCCTGAAGTTTTACCCTTTCTGGGTAATACCAGTATATAGTGGGCAAAATTGTAATATAGAATTGGTCTTTTAACTAAATTATTTAAAAACAAGAACATATATTATGAATAGTTTTACAGGGGGAAAATGTAAATGGATACACCCTTTTCATTTTGAAACCTTTTTAAACAATAATCCCTTTTCCAGAGTGAGGGGAGGTCTCCCACTTCCCCCTTAAACCGCCGTTGTGCCTCTGTTATATCGTCTCTCCGATGTTGCGTATAGACAGGGGCGTAAATAAGGATTCTGTAGGGGGGGAGGGGGATTTTTTACCCCTCCCTAGAAAAATATCATGATGTATATCAAATTATTGGTTTAAGTTGGGTTTAGTAAACCTTCGATATTTCAAGCTTAGAATATTTTACCAAAATAATTCAAAGTTAGAATACAGTTCCGAACTTTTTTACATTAAATGTTTACAATAGCCTTTGCTAATTTCTAATTTCTAAAATTTTCTTGTCGTCAATGTAGTATGTTAAGATCTTAAATAAATCTAATATGGAAATGACATTTTAGAAGTAAAAATGTATTCTTCATTGCCCATACCCTTTTTTATATTTAAAAAAACATCTAATTGTAATAACATTGACTATTACTTTAGAATTTAAATCATTTAGGATATGTTGACTTAAAATCTGAAATATCTGAAGTATCTGCACATTTGAATTATTCTGGTGCAAATTTTAATGATATGCAATTTTAAATCAACCTTTTTTTAAAAACAAATTCTAGCGTCCCCAGGATTCTAGGGGGGGGGGTGGTAAATAACCCCAATAACCCTCCTTATTTACACCACTGCGTATAGACGATGTAACATTACCCTTATTCAAAATAGACTTTAAAAATGTAAAATGTCGTCTTCTAAATAATTTTCCAAACCAAACAATTTTATCCGGGTTTCATCAAAACATTACAAAGTGAAGTTCTATAAAATGGATAAATTTTTAAACACAATTTTGATGTACTGGCGTTTTTAATTGAAAGTATCATTAATTACGCTATAATAATATGAATAAAAACTGTTCTGACTTACATTGGTACTTAAAGAACCGGACCTCCCCTATTAAATACTGTTAATTTAATGATGATGCTGCACGATTAATAATTTTACCATTTTTTCCCCTTACAAGATTTTTATTAGGTAACCTTGTTGATAAGAATTGATGTATAATACTAATTATCAGGAATGCTTTTAAGACTTAGTCACACAATCAACGTATTAGTAATAATTTCACTTATAAAGATTTATTAACCCCCCCCAAAACACAACACAGACCTCTTTGCTAATGTAATGTTTTAAAACCTTTTTTAAAATATTTTTATTGGGCTAGAACTAATCTAAGACCAACATGAACCTGACGTAAGATTTTTCTTTCCTAAGGGTTTCCGTCCGACTTATAAATGGCTTGTATCCTGAAGAAACTATTATTTTCAGGGGGTATTCAGTGCCCGAGGGACGCTAAGCCCCCCTCCTCCTTTAGTGTCAATTCCTATGTATATGCCTTATAAGTGAAACCTATTTAGGATGTGTATAAAACTATTGGGTATACTGCCCCCTTCCCTGAGTCTGAGAAGCAGGAGATCCTGGAAAAGTTGAACCAGGAATTAAATTTAATGAATTGCAAGAATTAAGCATTTCTCTTGTCAATCGTCAAATTAAAATAAATCGCATGTCTGATTGAAATCTTGTTTCCCTAAACATGCCTACCATTTCTTCGGTCAGTGTATTGCTAATCACTGCAGTACACACCGAAAGCTAAGTTGAGGGTGTTTTAATCATAACTCCCATAATTGAAAAGTTATTGAGAAGAACAAAAATGTTTTTTAATTTATTAAATTTGCTTTTCTCATACTCGTGCATAAAAATATAACTAGCTACGTGCTACGAGGTCACAAAGTTTATTGTGTCTTGTTAAAGTTCAACCATGTCTTGCTATGTCAGTTAAATCTGGTCTCAGTATTCTGAGGAGGAACTGGGACAGTTTGTTGCGAAGAAGAATGCAAAATTAATCTCCGCACACAGACAGAAGAATGGAGATTTTTCATGCATTGAACAGTTATTAGGTAAATTGGATTGAGTTATAAAAAATCTTGGGATTTTAGAATTTTGAGAAAATTTTTTCAACCCTTTTTTGTTAAAACAAGCATCGGCACTGGGCATAGATTTATTTTAATGAACTGTGAGTGTATTTCCCACAACTACTAAGGAAAAAAACTTTCAAAATGTTCTTTTTTTGTTTAATCAATTCTTCAGGGTGCTCTTTAAAAACTCAAATCAGAATGTCAACGTATTTTATGTAAGGTTCTTGTTAAAGGGTTGCATAGATTACGCTAACTGTCTCTTTAAAGCTTGAAATCAGTGCTTAGGATCCGGTTCCGGATCCGTTGGATCCGCAAGATTTTGGCTTCCTGGATCCGGTTCCGCAAAAATATGTGGATCCACGGATCCGGATCCAACCCAAAACTGCAAAAAAAAATCTCCAAAACCCCAAATATGAACTTTTGAAAAAAGAGAGATTATAAAAATTTCCTCATTTCTGAATGGTTCATCAAGTTTTAGGATAAAAAAGCGAAAAAAATAAAACCAAAAATTTGAAAAAAATGTTGTTAAAAAATTTCAGTAAGTCTTAAAGAAATGACCTGGATCCGGATCCTTTTTTTCCAGTGCGGATCCTGGATCTGGATCTGGATCCGCATCAAAATTGAATGGATCCTAAGCACTGCTTGAAATAAACAATTTTAAACTGTTAGATGTTGAACGTGTTGAGACGAGGCTGATGGAGAGAATATGTCGTGATCTACTAAAATTAAAGATAAAAAGAAGTAAATATGAAACCAAGGACGGAAAAGATAATATCATGGTCAAATATTATTCAAAGGTTAGTATCAGGAGTAACATTTTTAATCAAAATATATTTGCAAGGTTATCCACAAAGACTGAGACTGAAAAGATGACATAAACTCATATGACGACATAAAGTCTTATTAAATGATTTTGCAAAGAAATGATATATTTTACAGCTGCTGGGAATCATAAATACAGACATTATAAAGTCCATACTGTCGTCTCCGAAGTCTCATTCTTTTTGGGTAACCCTGTAAATATAGAGATATGTAATTATGATTCTAATCGTTTGTTAAAACAAGATTAAAATATTTAGATGAAAATACCCTTAAAAACTGTCTCAATACTAGTCCCTTTTAATTGACAGAATTTCATAGCTTTTTGACAAAATCCAAAGGGGGGTTTGTGTACATTTTAAACTGTGACGTATACGGATATCTGGTTTCATTCACAGTTATAACAATAATAAATAATTTGTGCCCGCTTTTGTTTATTTACAATTAAACTTGTTTTTAAGTTTTCCTTATTTGTCACAGTCATTCTTCTCAGTTTTACTCAAAGATTTTGTGAACTCCAACGAAAAGTTGTGTTTTTTTTGAGGGGGGAGGGGGGGGGTGGAGATTTTTTCGCTTTGCGCAATTTTTTTGCCTTATCTCCCATTCTCTAGATTAAATCTTGCATAAGCCCCTGATCCTTTTAAAATGAATCCTTGATTAAGAATGTACATCCGCATCCAGGGACTGAAGGATTACCGGAAGGAAGTCAGATTATGGGAATCAGGGAAGGAGCTTCTCAGTTTTTAATATAAGTAAAAAAAATGTTGTTACATTAATTAAATTTTTTCTATGGGCATTTTTATGTTTTCATGGAAAAAAAAGAGAAATACTAAAAGTAAGTTTCTCGATAGTTCTAGACATTTAAAATAATTTTAATTGAAAAGCTCCATTCACAGAGTAAGTTTACGAAAAGTCAGCTATGCTGTCCTCTCAGATGAGGTAAGCGTTTTTTTAAATGATCAAGGGTTATAGATTTTCAAGTATTAAACACCCACCCTTTCAAGAAATATATACCCCTGGGCCTTCCTCCGCGTTAAATAAAATAAAATAATTGTTAATAATGTAAATTTTGAAGTATTTATTTTGAGTGTTGTTATACCACAGTCAATAAAGCAATTAAAATAACGTTCTCAGATTTCCAAAGTGTGGTTTGACATTTTGTACCTTCTAATTGGCAAGATTTTTTTATTATAAAGAGAAGATTCTTTATGATTTTCAGAGTCTTATCCATATTTAATATTGTATTATTATTACAGGAATTGTAGACACAATTCTAAATGACTCTTCATTTATAGCGTGGCATGTCCGATTTATATTGGTTTATTTGATTTAATTAAGTGTGTTCATGTTTATATATCACGGGTATGATAATTTAAAACATCTCTTTCCTAACTTCATTGGCCTTTCAGTAGTTTCGCCAGTTATCGTACTTGTTTATGAAAATGTTCAGGTTTCCAGCATTTTTGATTTCATATGGAATATCATTTAACATATTTTTAACTCTTGCACTTCAAAATTTTCTTCGTATTTCGGTGTGCACAATAGGAATCTTCAGATTTAAAGGATCACTGGTCATTTTGGTTTGTCTTTCAATTTCTCCAGGTAAATAATATATGGAAAACCCATACTTGAATCATATCTCCCTTTTCTTTCTATTCTCCAGAGTAGTGAGTCCAACCTCTCTCAAACCTATATCCAAGTAACAATAAGAATATCGTCGTTAGATTCCTTCTTTGTTGCAGCATAAATCCGTTAGTTACTGTACAGAGATATCACAATTAAAATATTCGATTTTCAACTGAAAAAAATTGCGTTTCACAAAAAATGTCGACTACAGTCCCCTTTTACTATAAACACTACTGTATTTTGTTCAGGGTTTAGTGAGGTGGGGTAGTTTACCTGTGTTTACTCAAGTATCCTCGAAATCTCAATATGAACACACAAACCTATTCTCTTTATGTCAGGTACGTTATTATATAATATTCTTACCAATAAATAANTCGCTGCAAATCATGGTTTTGGTTTCAAAATATTGTAAAAACTAAGAATTCCTCGTTTCAACCTTTGTCTATCTGTTCTCCTTTTTTTCGTGGTTTTCTCTTGAATTAATCTCATGTTTATTCCATCACAATATTATATTATTTTTTAAATGCTATATTTTGCAATTCGGTAAAATCTATAGATAGGTTGACTGGACCCCCTCCCCTTCACTAAACAGCAAGCTCCGTGACTATCTATCTATCTTAACCTAACTTAACCTAACCCAATTTTATCTGGAATAGCTGATCTGCACAATTACACATGGGAATGGGGTTGGGGTCTAGATTTCTCAATTTTGTATTCTAAAATGAAGGATGAGAGAAATATTTTTTTGCGATCTCGCATTCGCCGAGAGCATATATTGTTTGTTTTGGTCAAACCTCTAGAGACATTCAAAAGTATTTAACTTAAGCTGTCGGACTACAAAATAAAAGGATTAGTGCTTTTTAAAGAGATTAGCAATTCAAAAGTTTCGTCCTCAAGTGCTCTGTGTTTTTGTTACCAAGGTCATTTAATTATTAATATTATAGGATCTAGTTGAGAGATTACCCCCTGCGGATTATTATGTACAAGAAGACCTTCTTACAATTCTACCAAACGATCCATACGTCAAGCTGAAAATTAATCTTGTTAAACTCAGGTTATAAAACAACTAATATATAAAAGTTAGTCGAATTTGAATAATAATTTTGTGAAAAATTCGAAATTATTTTCTGCCAAATTTGAAAATTTTATTTTTGTCAAATTTATAAATATATTTTTGTCACATTAAAATAACTGGTTACATCTGCTTAGGTCCTATTTAATGTGCACACTGACCAGCAGAAGTGTGTTGGGAATGAATAATATCTATACCCTGAAACCTGCTATACTGGATTCTCTTTTTACTTTGAAAATGGGAAGTGATCGACTATCTATGCAGGTAACAAAGCTGACATTGAAAATAATTTCTATAAATGGGTTTGTGAGTTCATATTGGGATTATCCATTTCCTTGTATTTTATTAAAGTCGATTGTTATATTTTGGTTTGAAAAAAAATCACTGTCTTATGCTTTTTTAATAAAAGAGTTTAGAATCTTTATTTGAAAGGTTTAACTTGTATTGCATTTCGTTCAGTGTAAGGTTTGAAGGGAATATTATGTAAAGATAAAAGATAAAGAGATTAAATCCAAAAGCCCCCCCAATATGGGAGACCCAGACCGCCCAAATATATACACGATCATTGATCATTGTCATTGATCATTACAGGCGGAGATACTTCTACAATAAAGAATCAAAAGGTTAAATCTGAAAGCCCCCCACCCCCCACGGGATTAAACACACAAAAGCCCCCCCCCCGCCTTCAAAACATATAATGGAGATATACCACCAGGAGGCGTGGCAGGATTAAAGTCCAGAGGTGTATCTTACCACGTGTATGCACTAGATACGATGTAAAAAAATTATAAAATATTTCAGGATAAACTGTGGAATATGATCAATGAAAAAAGCGAAACACCAAATCTATACAATATTAAAATCAGGCAAATCTCAACATTTTAAGTACTTTTACAGAGTAACGACCAGCACAAATTAATTTGTTGTTGTTGATTTATTTAAAATGTTGTTTGTGTTTTGTAGTGAAGACATGCTAAGTATATTATATGATAAAGAGGAAGGTGGAGAACCCCTGGCTGGAGCTTTATTACAGGAATATATAGAATATTAAATTTTACATCAGTTTACTCAGTTTTCTTGTAAAAAAGGAAAAGCAGAAAAATCTTCGCTAGAGGTTTTAATGAAAGGAAGCTTGTATAGGTAGTCCTGGAATTTACATAAAGGAACTTTCTAAGGAAACCATTCTCACCAGATTATTATTCAGACTATCCGGGTTTAAAAAATTATGTGATTTTTATAATAGACAAATCCATCTTTATATTTATACGACCAAGTTTTTGAAAAAAAGGTGTAAAATATTGTAAATAGAAACAAGTTGACATGTCAACATTTTTTGTTGTAAAAACTCAGCTATTAAAATCTAAAATTTTCTTAAATGCTACGTCCAACGAGGCCGGAGATAAAAAATCGGAGCCGACGGAGGTCACTTTTCAGAGGTTACAAGACTCCGGAAAGAGATATCGACAATCTGACTTAATATCCTGCTCCTAACAAATTATATGAGTCTACGTTCAAAAATAGAACCGGCTGCTATTAATATTGAAAGAGATATTACAAAATGTCTTACTTGACACGGGTTCTTTACAGGATTAACATTATAAAAAGATAGTAAACCTAGATCACAACCAATATTTGCTTTTATCTGGAATTAGTTTTAATTTTAGATTTTCCTAAACCACCTCTTTAAGTTTCGACTTTTCAGTTTCTCTAGAATATTCTGTATCTCAGGCAGTAGCATTCAAGCATATAGTGCAGACCTTAAAGCAGAAAACAGAGAGCTGATACTGGTCCTTGGAGAAACATTCACGATTTTTTTTGGTTTTCAAATCTCAAAATATGGGCCAAAGAAAAAAATAAAATCAGAAAAAGAACTTTTTGGGGTTAAAAATCCTTACAAATTGCATCCATTTTTTTACTATTTATTTCAGATGTAAGTTATACAAATGGAAGGGGAGAATTTCTCCCTGGTGGGTCGACATCTCTCCGCCCCTGCCTCCAGCTCCGCCCCTAACCACGCCGTGTCCTCCAGGATCCACTTGAACCAGTTTTCCTCCGCCTCCAATCATCATCTCTCAAATCCAACCTCTATAAGCATGATCTCGGAGGGTCTTATCTCACATCCTCATCTTGTCCTTGCTCCGTCCCAGCTGACACATCTAGTTAGCCAGGCAGGGGTACATTGTTTGTTATAGAATATTCCCCCCCCCCCCCAATTCTTCCGTCTACAATATTCATGAGGGGGGGGGGTCTTACCTTTTCATCTTAATTCTATTTTTTTGCTTGTTGTTTATAATTATCGCAGCTTTTCTACAGAGAAAAATTGAGGATTGCTGTAATAGTCGCGACTCGCAGTGCAAATGATATTTTTTTTTTCAAAATTGAAAAATAACAGTAAATGTTTCAATGTTAATTATGTTTGATGGATTTGAAGGTCACTGTTGTGAGTCAAACAGAAGTAACTGAAACTCATGTTGATAATACCTGTATATTTATTTAATACTTTTCCCAGTATTTTGGCTTCCTGGATCCGGATCCGCAAAATTATGTGGATCAACGGATCAAAACCCAAATCTGAAAAGTTTAAAAAAGATAGATTTAAAAATTTTCCTGATCTCTGAATAGTTCATCAAGTTTCAGCATGAAAATAAAAGAGAAAAGAAGAAAAATGATTTGACAATTCTGCTTTGTTAAAAGAATTCAGTAAATCTTAAAGAAATGTTCATGACCTGGATCCGGATCATTTTATTCAACCTTAACCCTATCCCGATCGGGCAATTTTTGTCTACTATAGATTTTGCACTTAGAGTAAATTAAATGGATCCTAAGCACTGTAGTTTATACACAATATATTGTTTCCCTATTCCATTCCTATAAACTTCCTATAAACTGAATTTAAATGTGCTCTGCGCCAGGGACATCAGACCATTAGCTCCAACCCTATCCAAGTCCTTAACACGGAGCATAGTACTTACTCCCAGTCCAGTAGAGGAGGAGGAGGAGGGAGAGAGAACTATATCCACCTGGTCCTGGAGTCTGAGAAGGGGATGAACCTGGTGGAGTATATCAAGTGTGATGTGGTGGATGAGGTGGAGGACTGCGTCCTTCTCCCCTCGGACCGGACTATAGTATCAGGGAAGGATGAGGAGAAGGGCCAGGGGAAAGATGTTTACTATAATTTTCAATCCAACAAAAGATCGGTGATCAGTGAAAATGAACATGTTACGAAAACAAAGTTAGGTAAGATTAAATTAATATTTATATTCTATTCTTATTGATTTTTAAAATAGATAGAATTATCATAGTATAATTTTATATTTTATTTTTTTTTGAAGACACATTGACGAAAAAAGTCATTCGCCTTGAACATTACCTAATTTAATCCATCCTAAACTCTTTTCTATTTCTTCAGTATTTGCAACTAAAAAGCGCGGGAAAAGAAAAGAGAAGAAGCTTGCCGGGAAAATCCACACCTGTACTGTATGCGGAGCAGGGTTTAGCTCTGGGAAGGATTTATGGAAGCATGGTTTAACCCATACCGGAGAGAAACCGTACTCTTGTCATCTGTGTCCGCAGAAGTTTACCTCTTCGAGTAGTAAATCATTTCATATCAGGTAGAAAATAGAACTTAAGTTCAGAATAGAAAAAGAACTTAAGTTCCGTAAACGGGAATAGAACTTAAGTATAGTAAATATAAATAGAACTTAGTTCAGTAAATATAAATAGAACTTAGTTCAGTAAATGGAAATAGAACTTAAGTCTAGCCAAGTAATTTAGACTTTTTGCTTGATAAAATGATTATAAATGTTTAATGTATGTAAGCTATTTGAATAAGTTTTCTACCTACAACTTCTATACCGGCGCAACTGTGGTCTCCAATAACTGTTTTCTATAAATTCAGAATTTTAAGGATTTATTCTAATATGTATTGTTTTGTAGGTCATTGCATGAGCAAAGACAAGAGCACCGGTGTCCTGACTGTGGGAAATTGTTTAGTCAAAACAGTAATATGAACAAGCATTACAAGTAATATATACATTTTTGATACATCACAGACTCATCACTTAAAATAATAATTTATTGTAAAGCCTTGAGTGTTTACTGGTCTTTGTTAATAGGTCATCTATCTAGGTTACCCGAGGTTTACTTTTTTTAGAACCTTAAATCAATTAATTTTTTGTTACGAAAATTTTTTACCTTGTACCTTGTTTACTTACTGGACCATGTTTCAATATTCAAAAAAATTATTTTTTGTTCTAGGACTATACATCTTGATATGATTGTGGTGGCCTGTGGAATATGTAAACGAACCTTTAACCAGCGATCAGCTCTAAGCAGACATATCAAGGAAGGAAGTGTTTGGTTTCAACAAATTTTCTGTCTTCATAAACTGATTTTTCGCACTGGATTCAGGATGTTAAGCTGCATCCCCCGACCCGACCCGCTCACATCTCCGTACATATCTCTGTCAATCATGGAGATTTTTGGAAGGCGATTTGTTCTTATCTAGAGATTATGTTTTTTTGCAGGGTGGGTTAGGCCGGTGAGGGGGGGGGGATGATAACAGTTGGCCGATTCATTCAAAGTGATAATTAAAATGAACAATAAAAAAACACCAAAATAGTTATATAAAAACTATTAAACAATAGAAATCTTTGAAGTTTAATATCATGAAACTGGTACTTTTTCTATTTTAAGATGTAACTAGTTAAGTTTTTTATTGTTGTCTTATTTCAATTGTAATCTTTCTCCGATTCAACCACTTCTTGGATCAAATCTTTAAACACTTGACAATCCAGATTGTTCACAAGAAAGAGGTTCCTCATCAGTGTGATCAGTGTGAAAAGAAATTTTCACAAGCTGAGAGTTTGAAGAAGCACAAAATGGCGATTCATTACAAGTCACGTGATCATCTTTGCGCGTTTTGTGATTACGCGGCATCAAGACCGGATATGCTCAGGAATTTATTCTCATGATTTTTTCACAAAAATTTAAAATAATTTTTAAAGATATAATAAAATCGTTAAATCTTTATTTTTTTTTAGACATAACATTTTTTTTGCGATGTTCCAAAGAAATTCCTAAATTTGGGGAATAATTTGTTTAAAGGGTTCACGTTCGAAAAATTCATACAAAAGAATGGAGATATGAATGTGAAATATGTCGAAGTAAAGGTATATTTTTAAAATAACTATTTTATATTAAATTTTCTATCTAGTTATTTATTAATATGTTTTTCATTTAAATAAAGCTATTGATAGCGATTTGATTATGTTATTAGATTATTTTATTTAGGTAACTCGTGGGGTTGTATCTTACCAAAGGAACTACGACGGCATATGCAAACTAGACATCAAACTAAAATAGACAAACCTACCCCGTGGTATGTACATTAAAAATATAAACACAAATATCAATCTTGATTTAATTTTACAGTCACATGTGTATTTTCTTGAATTTTTGAAAACTATTTTTAGGTGTATTAAGTATAAAATAGCAAGTTCGAAATTTAATCTTCCATTTTTAAATTTTTAAGTATTTTTAATGTTCATGTTGTTTTTATAAACAAGTCTATCTCTCCTTATAATTTAGTCCGGTAAATTGTTCTCATCAATAGCATTTAGTATTTTATTTTCTTAGATTTTTGCATCATTTATAAATTATTTTTGTTTTTATTAAATCAAGGTTAATTGAGACAAGATCAGCTCCGGGTACCAGTAATAGTAAGGAGGAGGAAAACGTATCAATTGATCGTCAAGTTAAAATCCTTCTCAACAAACTGAAACATCCTCTACAGTTTTCACATCAGCTCGAGGCCGAAGTTAGAGCTAAAGCTTGTCGAGCTCCGACCTCAGTGCTAAACTTTGATATTCAACCTTCCTCCGACCTCGTGAACATTAACGGAATAGATAATTTAATTTCATCAGCTAGCGAGGTTGGATCAGCTGATTTATGTACTGATGATAACCAGCTAAGTCGACAAATTAGCCTGGTTTACCAGGACCAGCCTGTATCTCATATAGTATCAGTGGATAGCGAGGGTAGGACGCGTCCTGTTCATGATATCTCCAGCTCAGCCTGGAGATCAGGCTGGTTGGACGGAGATCAGCTTATCTTCTCCAGGTCGGAGTCTAGATCTGAACCTCTTGAGCTCCAAGTAGTAGATAGATCTGAACTGCAGGATATCATGGTTCTACAACCAGGCAGAGGGAGGAGAATATAGAGATTACAGATAAGGTAAACCTTGGAGCACTTAGATCCAAGAGTAACCATGGAGAAGATAACCTTTGAGAGTATTGAGTTTTATGGTGACCCATTTAGAAAATAGAGATAAGAACCATGGAGAACATAGAGCTACGATGAACCATGGAAAATAAATACACCTACGATGCACCAGGATATTCAAGAACGTAGAGTAATTATTGTTATTAACATTCAACCTACAGTCAAGTTGAGCTCCAGGGTCGAGCTCCAACCACTTTCCCTTGTCTACATGGGTTCTAGTGGATCATATCTGACGGTAAAGATGGTCCATCGAGAAAATAGTTTTATACGTAAAATATGAAGTTTCGACGTACTACGCCAATTTTCAGAAGAATCTCTGATTTTATTTCTGTATCCTAGTCATGTCATTTTATTAATCTTGACTTAATCAATTTGTTTTCTTCATAATGCATAGCATTACGTAGGTACTACGTGAACAGTGAACATATATTATATATTTGTTAAGTTTAAATTGATAAATCCAGAAAAATATAAATTTATGGAAATTTCGTGTCATGAAAATCTATCAAGTTTTGAACCTTTTTTTTCTAATTTCAGATTTCAAATTATGTTCTTTATCTCACGAACTCGAGTCATCAGGAATTTATTTAATTTTAATAAAAAAAAATATATTTGTTAACATCCGTTGATCGAAGAGGCCATCAACTATTTTACTGAAGTGTTCTATGTTCAATTTTCATTGAACGTTTTTATGTAAGAACTAGCTTGGGAACCCAGCGCTGCCTAGGTTACTCATAGTTACTTCTGCCGTTTACCCGCACTTGAACGATTTTACCGGGAAACTAAATTTTTGCTATTTAAGTCGACCGAGTTCCCCCAATCAAAATTTGAGGCAAATCGATTCAGGGGTTCCTGAGTTATGATCGGACAAACAAACAGACAAACAGAGATTACAACTTTATATATAGATGACATAAATATCTCCTGTAAAAAAACGAAATGAGACAAATTTGACATTTTCTTGTTTCTATTTGTTGTAGAAATCCATAAAGCATTTTCTAGGAAATCACGTGGTCTTCAACAATGTTGTTCTTAGAAATGCTATAATACATAATTGTGTCTTTACTATTAACAGACAAAATGTCATAAATTTTTTGCGCTCCCTCATGAATAATAAATTTTAAAGATTTTATTAAAATCTATGAAATGCTTTTTTTCTAAAATTAAATAAAAGTTCATTGAAAGGCATCTGCAAAAAGTCAGTATTAGAATGGAAAATAATTTCACAACATTAACTGTAAACGCATCTGCAACCATCCACACTCCAGAACCAACTCCAACAATTTCAAAAATTAATGTTCCTTCACAAAAATTGATTCCATCCGCCACAGAAAATAATTCATCTGCCTCACAAGATGATTACTCCGCCTCTCCTAATGAATCCTCGTCATCTCCTAAATTCACATCTCCCACATCAACAATGAATCAGGAAAGTGTTACCCTTTTTCATCAATATGTCTTTTACACCCCATGTTTTCTCTTTTTTTAGAGATTTTTAGCAAAATATGAATCATATTTCTCTGGTATATATCCTCTAGACAGTTTTGAAACACAGTTTTGACGTAACTTCGTTTGAATTATTTCTCGAATTGCTGAAATTGTTTCTCAGAGAATGTTAGTTAAAAAATGCAATTTACTTGATCATTTGTTAAATTCTAAGACGGTAACACTCTAAAAACAGGAGGAAGTGGATAAATTTTCCTCCATGGCGGAAGATTGGTGGAATCCTGATGGAGTTTGTAAACCACTCCATTCAATGAATAGGTAAGATCTCCTCTAAGGCAGAGTGTTGATGGAATCCTGATGGAGTCTTTAAACCACTCCATTAAAAAAATAGGCAAGCAGACAAATCAAAAATAATTTTCTGTCAAATCTTAGATTTTGGCATTGCTCGCCGATTGTCTGTTTTTATTAAGAAGCTGATAACTCTCATCAGACTTTTTTATCCTTAGACATATCTTTACAACACGATGTTGTAGGCCTCTAATATTTCATTCATTGCATTCTGGCAAATCAAATAGTCAAAGTTTGAAATTTAAAGGTTTTTACTATTCGGTTGCAAAGATATAGAAATCAGTGTCTTTGTGAAACAATTATTTTTTTAAAATCAAACCTTGGCTTTATTACTAGGTTACGGATTCCGTTTATCCGAGACAGACTGGTCGGAGAGATAACCTCCGACAAACCTCTCTCTGGTCTCCATATACTAGATGTAGGCTGTGGTGGAGGGATCGTCTCTGAGCAACTAGGTTAGTATAATTTCTTTCAGTGGTTCATATCTTAAATTGATAAATATTTGTCCCATCCTGGAAATCATTTTTAAAGTTATATTTTAGAATTTTTTTCTCCCGATTTTGATGAACCTACTTTTTATAGTATATATAAATGTGGGGGAGGGGAGAATTAAAAGAAGAGGCCGAGGGAAAACTTTTAAAGAATAAAATTACATTTTTTAGATGCCTACCTGAAGTTGCCCTTTTTATACCTATGTTGCTTATGTTGACCATTTCATATTTTTATTGATTAAAATACCAGGCTTCGTTTTGTTGCCTGGCATGCCCTGCTTGTCCCCATAATGAAGATTTACGTGTATCTTTTCTTCTTACGGTTATTATTCGTACATTTTATTATTATCCTTAGCTCGTCTTGGTGCCCAGGTGACAGGAGTTGACGCCTCCCAAAGTAATATTAATATTGCAAAGGAATTTCATTTTTACATTTAAACAAATCAATTAATTACGATTTTTACTAATTATCCTTAAACATTTTTTGCAATTTGTGGAACTTAATGCTTTCTACTATTTCATTTTGATTTTGATAAAAATGAATCTTGATTAGTTGCATCGAACACGTGACCCTGATACAGTAGGTATAGAGTATATCTGTTCCACGGTAGAGGAATTTCAAACTTCAAGGGAATCTAGATAGTTCCACTAACGCCATTTTGTTTCACAAGTTCGAAGCGCAATTTTTTATTTTCAAAGCGCCATTGTAGTTAGAGCTCGGAGAATCATTGTCCTTGAGGATCATGATTCTTTGATTATAGGTTGAATGTTAATAATAATAGTTAAAGGACTATTGCCAATTTAGCTTACTTCTGCGATTTTTATTTCATATTTGCAATATACATATTTTGATAAACTAGCGCTATTTTCATAGACGTTTTGTTTAATTGAATTGCAATTTATTAAATCTTATGCAGTTTTGTTCTAACCAACTTTATTTCTATCACATAGAAATATTTTGTTAAACCAGCGCCATTTAGCCGGTTTGTAGCAAATTTATTCAACCTCTGGAATTTTTTATGCAATCTACGTCAACTAAAATCAGAGTTTTTAAGCAAGTTCCATTTTGTCATAAAGCTCCATTTAGATCATCTTACAATGCCTTTTAGCTTTGAGGTCTTTGATACAGGGTGTCCCACGAAACATAGTTATGAATGTCTTTTTCCATATACTGAATTAGATATTAAAGACTTTTTGTGCAGTTTATTTAGTTAAAAAGTCTAAAATATATTTTACTTTGAAATCAGTTTTACTATAGTACGACTGTCATATACTATTTTTTATTAGTCGCTTTAATATCAAACAGCTTAACAATCATGGAAGAAGACATTTCAAACTATTCGCCAACTGTCATGTTTCGTAAGACACCCTGTATTAAAAAAAACAAAAGAATAAACTTGAAATACATTTTGTTTTGTTCTGCAGTTAATCTTAAACGTTAGAAAGAACAATATTTTTTTCTGAGAATTAGGAACTATAGTTGGGATTAGTTTGCGTAAGTTTGATGCTGTTGTTGCAAGCAAAATAATAGAACATGTTAATAATCCTCAGCTTTTTATTCAATCTATCTCTCTTCTACTCAAGGTAATAGAACATGTTAATAATCCTCAGCTTTTTATTCAATCTATCTCTCTTCTACTCAAGGTATTTTATTTTCATCCTTTTATCTATTTTTAGAAGTTTTGAATTTTAACTCCGTTTATATACTCTGGTATTGTTAGGACGAAGGATCTGTTTTTCTAACTACCCTGAACCGGAGTACTCGGAGCTGGTTGCTGGCTATACTCGGAGCTGAATACGTTCTGGGCCTGCTACCCCGGGGCACCCATGACTGGAACAAGTTTATTAAACCGGAAGAGCTGGAGGGTTGGCTCGACGCTGCTGGTATTGGAACCAGGCTGGTCAACGGGATGGTTTATGTTCCAGGTATAAAAAAAACATGGTCAGAATATTGAAAAACTGAATTTGAGTATTTTTTGCAAAACATTTCACAGATTTATCACAAAACATTCATATTACAGAACTGTTAAAATCTGTTGATAAATTTACAAATTCCAAAATTGACGGAATAAGAGCTGTTTCAAGAGTGTTTAAAAAATCCTTGTAGAACTAAACTGAATATTTTTGCCACATGTACTGGCATTATTGCCACATGTACTGGCATTATTGCCACATGTACTGCGATCTTTTTATTGTTTTCGCGATCTGGTAAACACAATTCATATTAACATGACTGAAGAAAACCCAATTAGTAACCAAAGCGTGTTATTCTTTCTTGAAAAATAAAGTTCTCCGGACGGATAACTCAGAAATAGGAAGACGACTTTTTAGACTCAAGATATGACTTAATAGTTCAATGAACATGAGAAACAGAAATTTTGCAATGCAAACAGATTTAATAAGTTGCTAGTGAAACTATTTGCTTTGCAACAACATCAAATACGCTGGATTTTTGCTTAAATGACGTCTTCCAATTCCACAGTTTTCTTGTTCTCACTTAGCTATTTGAGATTTGCAATCTGTTCAAGCCTAATCACTTCAGATTAAGGATTGACATCAGTTATTATTATTATTATTATTATTGTAAAATGTCGGATATTCTGATTTTGTTTTGTTTCAAGAAAAATGTTTTTTTAGGTTTAAACACTTGGAGTTGGTTTCCGGATAACAGTGTTAACTATGCTCTTCATGGAAAAAAATATATATAAATAAACAATTACGCAAGTATAAAACAAATTATCAAAGAAATAATATTTGGTATATTATAAACTGTTAATGTTTGCATCAGTCCAAAATTTTGTTGTTGAAACATTCTCTATTTTACCTATTTCAGAAATAATGTTAGTCTAGAAGATCTTTTGAATTTTCAACAATGGAAAAACGTATTTTAGGTAGGGATTTTAGATGATTCTTAAGCTTAAATATTTAGTTACTTAAAATTTAAAACGGTTTGTACGGGTGTACTGTATTGTACTGTTATACCTCTATGGCTGTGTACGGGTAAATGAATGTACTATTTAGCCTCTATGACTGTGTGTACGGGTAAATGTACTGTTAAACCTCTATGGCTGTGTAACGGTAAATGAATGTACTATTTAGCCTCTATGACTGTGTGTGCGGGTAAATGTACTGTTAAACCTCTATGACTGTGTACGGGTAAATTAATGTAACAATTCTCCTTGTCTAGGACTGTGTTTACGAGTAAATGTACTGTTTAACCTCTAGGACTATGTGTACGTGTATGGACTGGATCAAGAGATGATGTTGCTCTGATCTATGCTGATCCTATCCTGGCTGATCTTCAACAGATGATTACTGAACAGAGTCTTTATCAGATCCTCAGGTCTAGATTTTTGTTCTTAATTCCGTAATATGGGGTCCACGGTTCCGAATTCCAGTGGAAAAAACAAAAAAAGAAGATTTAAACAAGCAAGCTTAAGCAAAAAAACGAACAAACAAAAAAACACGCAGATAATTTTCCGTAGAAAGAAAGTTTGTATAACTTGAAGAAAAAAATTGAAAACTGAACTTTGATTCAAGATTTGAATCAAAATGGAAGGTCCTTTTTATGAGGGACCCCCCCCCCCCCAATTATAAGAAGGCCTGGCATATAAAATAAATTTGTAGTACCCGTTTTAAATAGACTTTACAATTAAAATATCATTATTTTTTTTGCAGTGATCTTTTATGGCCAATCAGTAAATCTGTTGAAGAGAAAGAAGTATTGAAGAATGGGATAGATTTACATGACAAGAGAACAAATGAAAATGGTATTTATGAACTAAAAACTGAGAAGAAAAAGGGAATGAAGAATGCAAATCTGAAGTGCAACGGAGAGGATGAAATAGAGAAGAACCTAGTTGAGGATTATGATGAGAATGAAAATGAGGAACTGAATGACGTGAATGATAATGATGATGATCTGGATGAACTGGAAGATATAGATGAGCTTCTTGATGCTTCTGTAAAGATGGAAGAGGATATTGAAGTTCAAGCGGACGATAATAAGTTTGAAAAGGTAACGTAATCCATATATCTTGGGTGTTTCTTATCAATCTTTTACATTTTTCGATGCATGTTCTTGAAAAAAATCATATAATTTTTATTTTGATTCGGTCCTACGGACATTCAAAAATCATTTTGAGAGGGGTCTAAAAATTTCTATCGCCAGAAAAAAAAGGAAGTACCTCCACAGAATCAGATCTGTTCAGGAGGGTTTTCTAAAAACCAGAAATTGGGCAGAAGAATTTTTTCCTGATTTATGTTAAAAATCTTATTCAAATTAATAAAAGTTCCCTTTAATCTGTTTTTTTTTAGACTGCAGAATCTACCAACTGCCAGGTTCATGATAAATCCATCCACTGTGATCTCTGTGGAAAACCATTTAAAAGAAAATCATCATTAAAAGCTCATTTAAAAACCTGCAAAGCATTAGAAAACAATACCTTTTCCTGTGAACATTGTGAACTAGTTTATGATTCAAAGCCAGATTTGAAGATGCACATGAAAACCGAACATTCTTCGATTGATCTTCAGTGTAGGTTCTGTGATTATGTCGCGCATACACTGGAATATAGAAATATGCACGAGAAGAGGATACATTTGAACCTGAAGTGTGTAACTTGCAGGAAAATATTTGGATCTGAAGAGGAGAAAACTGAACATAAATGTGTCAAACCAGATCGGTTTCAATGTGATCGTTGTGAGAAAAGTTATTTAGTTAAAACAGAGTTAAAAAAGCACATAAGCATTGCACATGAAGGTCAAAAATTTCCTTGTGAACTCTGCAGAGATGTTTTGTCCTCTTCACAAGCTTTAAAAAGACACACGAGAAATGTGCATGAGATTAAGGTGAAAAACTTTAAATGTCAATTTTGTGGAAAATCTTTCAAAGACAAACAAACCTTACAAAAGCATGAGAAAATACATGACGAAATAAAATCTGATCCCTGCCCTGAGTGCGGAAAAGTTCTTTCCAGCAACGATGTATTAAGAATACACATTAGAAGGGTGCACGAGCGTAATTTTAAGCATACTTGTGAGGATTGCGGGAAGAGCTATCCCTACCTCCACGCGCTGCAAATTCACGCAGAAATGGCTCATCTAAAGGGTGCTATGCTCATGTGTACCGTCTGCGGAAAAGAGTTTATTGGAAAGCATCGATTAAGAAATCACATGATACAAAAGCATCCAAAAGGTCAAGAGTTTACTAACTGTGAGCACTGTGGAAAGGTGGGTAAAAGCTTCTTTTATAATTGAATCATGAATTTCTTTGTCGAAAATTTCTAATTTCTTTGTATTATGTATTGATAGAGAAAATATTTGAATACTTGAATCAAACAAAAATGCGGATTTACTGATCCAAGTAGCAGCATGTTAACCATGAAAGATAAGTTAAATTCCCGTCTCTCATTTCTCAAATAAGTTCGTGAAAAAAGCACAGTTTCTTTAAGATGAATTGGTCAAAATTGAAAATGTTTATTTTTGGGATGAATCCAGATCCGCATAGAAATAGAATGAAATCAATGCACTGTTAGTGAGGTTCTGAACTTAATTTATTTCAGGAGGTTCCTGTCACCCAGCTTAGAAGTCATGTAGTTGAGGCACACAAAATGCAAGGATATAAGTTTCAGTGCACTTTCTGCCCCAAACGATTTGATACCAAAGCTCATATCAGAGAACATATTAGGTATATCATCATCTTTATTTATCAAAGAAGCGTTTTATCTTCCTGGATTTAAAAAGTTTATTTTTTTTTCAGAAAGCACACAGGTGCACGTCCTTTTTTATGCCGGGGTTGTGGAAAGTATTTCTTCTGCCGCGAGACTGCCAAGAAGCATGTCAGATTGTTCCACGGCGAGGATCTCAGCCTCGTGCACTATGACGTCATGAGAGATGTCGGGAATCCGTTCGTCAGCTAACATTCATCTTAAAATGAGATTTAAAAACTCTAATGCTTTATTTATTTGTTATATATTTTTCTATTTTGTTAATCCAAAGAATTTTTAACAAATTCATTTTTCAGAAAAAAGTCCGAGGGAAAAAATAGCAATGGCGCTCAGTTCCAGTTAAATGGGAAGTCTGAATAATGCCTGTTTTTGATGGCTTGTTAAATAAACTGCAAGAGGTAGGGTTGATATTCCAATTTTCATAAAAACAAATAGTTTTTACACTTTTCAGTTAGTTTAGACGTGATTTCAAGTTACCCTCCCTTTTGAAAGGGGTATGCCCGAATCTGAACCTTTATCTGAGAACCAATTGTGAAGATATCGTCGTTTTTCTAATTAAGAGTTAAATTTTGGTAACAACGTTCTTTGCCTATGCTGAATAAAATCTGCAAGTTACTTTATAAAGAAATCACAATGAGAAAGCTATACATTTTTAGATGGAAAATGGTTTATATCATCATTAAGTTTTTGCACCATCGTAAATCTGGGAGCAGGACCCAGGATAAGTGAATTTGGCAGCAGGACCCTGATACGTGAAATATTATTTGAAATTAAGTTTACAGTCCCTTTAAGAACAGTAGTAAAGATCAAACTATTAATTGTAGTCGAGCAGTTCTGAAAAATGTTAAATGGAGTAATTTAGGTTAGTCTGTCTGATTTGAACCACGAGTTGGGCAAGGCAAAGGTAAAATAGATTTTTTGTTTATAAACTTTATAGACCTGCTGAGTAGGGTAAACATAAAACATTATGGACCCGGATTTATGATAAATTATCTATTTATCAGGAGAGTCTGGTTTATGAATCATCAAATTATCTTCAGACAATAAGAGAAGACGCTGTTCATGTTGGTGGACTTATTAGATCAGGTACTAGGTGGGGGCAGGGGGGGGGTACTTGTATGTTCTCTAGATTGGAGCAACACCCTCCCCCCTCCCCCCTGACTAGATTAACACCCACATATTTAAACTTCTACATTGCCTAAACCATTTTATTTTGACGAAATGTCTAAAATATTTAATAAAAATTTCGTAGAATCTACTCGGTTTGGTGATTATTTTGGACGAAAGAAGCCCGGGATAAAGAAGAGCACCAGCCTACCGGTCATACAGGCACAACATGCTCCAGGAACACAGGTACACCTGAATAGGGTAAAATGGTACATGCGTAATACGTTGTACAATTTACATGAAGAATGTAGATTTAGATTGTAGAATGTAGATTGCAGATTGCAGATTGCAGTTAATTTATTTTAGATATTAAGAGATATAATAAGATTCACTTATGTTACACAATCCACATGTATATTTAGATATTAAAAGATAGGTTAAGACACACTTGCGTACAGTACGGTACAGTGTACACGTATATTTGACCTTTAGACAACCAAACTTAGGTTTAGAAACAATATACAGTACATTACTTTTGAATATTAAGATACTAGGAGACAAGTATTGATACAAGAGTACAGTACAGTACATGAATATATGTAGGTACTAGGAGACAAGTATCGGTACCAGTGTGCAGTACAGTACATGAATATATTTAGGTACTAGGAGATAAGTATCGGTACCAGAGTGCAGTACAGTACATGAATATATTTAGGTACTAGGAGACAAGTATCGGTACAAGAGTACGGTAAACCAAGAAGAAGTTATTGTATCTCCAACAGATCTTGTCGATCAAGGCAATGGGATTATTTATATAATTATCTATCTATCTATCTTTGCTTCTTTTTATCTTATTATGATCTTATTATTATCATATTATTATCTTATTATTATCATAATATTATCTTATTATTATCTTATAATTATCTTGTTATTATCCTATCATTTTCTTATAAATTATCGGTCCGATGATAATTTACCTAACATCTATATTAACATTTTATTGATCACATTTTTTTCTTCAAATCATCCAGAGTTGATTTGTTTTAAGTACAGCATTTTAATCGGAAATTGATTTTTTATCTTCCTTTCGTAGATAAAGAGTCACCTGGCGGAGTTTTTATTAACTTATAATAAAATTACTCTTCTATTTATCTATCTATCTGCCCCTAAACTCTATCTATTTATCTACCCCCCCCCCAAACTGTGAACTTACATAATCCTTATCTTAAGACTCAGTCGTCAGTCGGTTTATAAAGGAAATCCATTAAAACATGTAATCTTAGCTTGTATTCAACTATTTATTCATCCATTTAATTTATTTTTCATTTATCCATTAAATTCAGTAATTATTCATCCAGTTAATTCACTATTCATTATTATTCATTTAATTTATTATTTATTTATTCATTCAGGGGCGGATACAGGGGGGGGGGCAGGACCTTTGCACCCCTCTGACGGATTCAGGGGGGGGGGCGTAGATTTCAGAATAACTTCTCAATAGCACTTTTGGGAAAGAAAACCTAGTGCAAAATAGAAAAAAATATCTATCTTAATAAAAATTTCAACTGCGCCGCGTCTTTTGGTTCCTAAATCTGACATTTTATGGTTCAGTAATAAATCTAGCATCTCCCTCACTTAAATCCTCTATCCGCCCCTGTATTCATTTAATTCAATATTCATTTTTTCCATTTATTCATTATTCATTTATCCATTTAATATTTTTCTTAATTATTTATTAGTCATTCTTTATGATAATTTCATGCTGATATTTTTATTTCTTAAAATTTTCATTTATTTTTTAACAATTCATTGATTATTCATTCATTTCTTCATTTGATATATGTTTATAGTTTATGCTTCCATTCTTCTAATTACTCACCATATCATTTATTCAATCATTTATTTATTTATGTATTCAATCATTTATTTATATAATATTATTCAATTCATCCTATGACTCATATTTTCATTCTTAATTCATTTGTTTAATTATGCATTCATGTTTCACAAAACTTTTGCTTTATTTATTTATAATAAAGTAGAAGTTATAACGTGATAATCTAATTTTATTGTAATGTTTTACAAGGATTACTTCTAGGTCGTTGGATCTCAATCTCCTGATCAGGTTTTTATTCGTTACATAAATACTTTGTCCAAAATCTCTGTATATTGTTGAATTAATCTAAAAATCTAATTTATTTATTTATTTATTTATGTTGCTCAGATTGCCCCACGTGCACAGAGTCGCCTGAAACCAAATACCAGGGAGGATATCCGGCGTAAACTCGCAAATTTTGGAGAACCAGACGACGACGACATTCAGGTAATTAATTCTGATAAAACGGTCTTACTTTGTTTCTTAAACGTTCTATACAAAATTATATTGTCTTTTTCTCTCTCATTTTTCTTGATTTAAAAGTAATTATGTGATGGGCCAACCTATTAAAACAATCTACTTTGGTTAGGCGTGTTTTAGCAAATTGTGATTATTTATTTGTTTTATGCTATGTAGTTGAATAAAAAATTATGAATTACTGTATAGTTTAGTCATAGTTAAAATAAATAATTAAATTGCTTTTTTTTTCTTCAATTTATTATAAATAAACATATTCAAGGCTGAGGATAATAATCTTGAAATCTGTTTTATCAACGAGACTGCCAGGTTAGAAAAATTACGATCTTCTTTTTTTGAAAATATTTTCGACAAAAAATATGATTTCGATTTTAATAGAATTTTTGCATATTGTTTCAGTGATGAGATAGAAGAAGGAGTGTGTTTAAACCCTTTAGGTCAGTAAAAAAAGTTTTTTTTTCTTAAAAAAAAAAAAATTTACATTAAGTTCTTGATAACAAAGTTCTAAAAAGTTTAAGTTAAAAATTCAAAACGTTCAAGAAAATTAAAGTTTAGGGAAATGTTGATGATATTTTTTCAGCGGAGGAAAGCGAAGAAGAAGCTGATGAAGATGAAGATGATGATCTAGATGATTCTGAATATCTGGAGGATTCCCGTGTATTCCCAAGATCAAAATCTGAGTGGGAGGCTTTCAGGTAGATTCAACAAAATATTAGAAAATAACAAATATTTTTAAAAATCAAGTAAGGCGCCTGATCACCATAGAAATGATTAAAAAAGTAACAACAAAAATTGAATAAACCACGAAGAGCGAAAAATATTAAGAAAATGCGAAAGAAAAAATCTCCGAAAGAAATTAACGTAAAGAATGAAAGGACTAACTCAAATAAAAACAACAAAATCAATTTAATAAAGGAGTCCTGAGCATAGTACCTTGTCTGTAAGTGAGTGCTCTAAACCTGATCCAAGATCTAGAGCTGAAAGGTTGAAGAGTCGGGAAGAAAAAAGGAAACGGAAATGCCAGCGTGCAGCTAGGTTGGCTCTCGCGCAATGTGCCCAGGTAAAAATATTTGATTCCATTTTAAATTTAACATTATTTTCTGTAAATTTTAATGACTTTAGTCGTAATGAAAAATGACTTTATTTATATATAGGTATGTCCTATTCACAACGGTACCATTTAAAGCTTATTCTGATCATATGAATGCACGAAATATTTATCATCTTTTCTTTAAAAATTGATTATATTGAATTGTGGGTTCTCCATAAAATGACTTCTGCATTTCTGCTTTCGAAACATTGCAGAAACATGTGAGAATTACATAATTAAACAATTTTCAAAATATACAAAAGACGATATCTTCTACATAATCCATTAGAAAATGATTTAGTACCGTTGTGAATGAGGTCATTGGAAATTACAACGACAGCTTCTTTCACAGCGTCATATTGTTAACAGTTTTGTTTGCTATTTTTAATGAAATCTGAATTTTTAATTTTTTTTTCTGTGAAGGTTGCCAGACGCCAACTTCTTGTTGAGAAGGAACAAAGATTAGAGACAACGAGGTAATGGAGAGATTATTACATAAAAAAATAATTAAGCATCCACCCCTCCCCTTGAGGGTTGCAAAACAATTTTAGATATTAACAGTCAGCAATGCCATTTTCGATGTAAAAGTGTTTAAAGACTACAGTTTTAAATATATGAATACAAATCTAAATTGAAAAAACTGAAATTTTATATAAAAAGTGTTTGTCCTTTTTATTTGAGACATGTTATAAACTTTTGAATGTTTAGACTGAAGAAGATAATTGGATTAAACCATTCCCAGTTAAACCAGACTAATCTTCATCAGTTTAATATTTCAACCCTTCAGGTCAGTTCTAGAGTAGATCTTTTGCGTCATTGTTCTGGTTGTGTCATCTTATTAAGTCTTTGTTCTAATCCTGATATTGAAGTTGGTCTAGAACATGATCTTGGTACTTAATTTTTTTATTCTCCTTAATCCTTAATTCTTGACTCTTCTAGTCTTGATTACCGATCCCGATAATTGATCCTTTATCCTTATCCTTGATAGTTGATCCTTGATACTTGATCCTTAATTCTTGATCCTTGATCCTTATCCTTAGTCCTTAATTTTTCATCCTTGATCCTTGATTCTTGCTTCATCTCTATGATTTTTTTTCTTTGAAAAGTTCTATTTGTTTGTTATCAGGTGATTCTAAATGATGTACGAGAAAGTATTGAATTGAATAATGCCGAACTGGTTCAACTCTTAATCAAAAAGGTGAATAATTTTTTACTAGAAAAATATTAGAAAAAATGTTAAATTAATTATTTTTTATATTTCTCTTTTTTTCTCAGGATGATCTGCAGTCTGAACAAGAATCTATGCTGATAGGAAATCATAAAATGATTTTTAATAATTTCCCCTCCTTCTCAAACCCACAAATTATTTTTTAACTCATCGAAATTTTCTATTGGGACTTGGATGCAAATCTGGTTTTATACAATCAAAATTTTTAGATCTTTGTCGATTCGATAAAAAAAATTGTCGCAATTCAAAAACTTCTTATCATTATTGTTTAGAAATTCATTCTATTGGTTTAGATATTGAGGACATATCACAGAGAAGATAGGTTTCCCCCCCGGGCCGATCAGAGATTATAATTGTTTCATCATCAGCATCAGAGAAAAATTTATCAGCCATCTATGAAAAAGTCGGACATAAATTAGTCAAAAATAGGGCAGACTGATTCTAATCAGTCTTTAGAATTGTGACGTGATAGTGAAGTTAGCTTAGTTTGAACTAGACAATTTCAAAACAAATTAAGTGAACTTTGTATCCTGTTATCCTGTTATCCTGTTATCCTGTTATCCTGTTATCCTGTAATCCTAGTTTTCCACAACAATATCTAGTTATCAGGTTATTTTCCTACTAGCAGTACAGCATCTGGTGACTAAAAGAAGATCAGCGGACAACATTAGCTCATATAAATCTTAAAAAATGGCGCATGTTCTAATCCGACCCTACAAATATGAGGATGAAAGGTAATTATAATCATTTTCCAATTCACTCCACACTTTCCTTTGCTTATTTGATTTTACTTCCTCTTTCGTTCAAAGATAACTTTACAAGTATTTAATTGAATCAAAGCATGAGCGTTGGCCGTGTTTTATTGAATGATGGGTTTCTTATTTAAAATTTACAATATTACTCCTGATTACAGGGGAGTAATGATTGGTTTCTTATTTAAAATTTACAATATTACTCCTGATTACAGGAGAGTAATGATGGGTTTCTTATTTAAAATTTACAATATTACTCCTGATTGCAGGGGAGTAATGATGGGTCTCTTATTTAAAATTTACAATATTACTCCTGATTACAGGGGAGTAATGTTCCAAACTGTATGTTTGCCCGAGACCTGGCACTCAGGGCAATTCATTTTTTCGAACTTAATTACTTTTCTGTATTATTATACCTTATTAGAGAGGTGCAGAAGTTGGTCCAGAATTCCTGCCTGGAGCAGGTCAACCCAGTTTACCTGGGGGCATTCTTTCGTGAGTCCACAATCCAGGTACATTGTACACTGGTACAGGGTGTTTTACTGAACTTGACAATTTAATGACAAGCAAAAGAAGTGATGTCGTCTTATTGTGGCCTTCAATTGTAAACCAAATTTTACGAGTATTATTCTTGAATAGCTTGGAAACCCAGCGTTGTCCAGATTACTCCGTTTACCCGCACTTGGTTGTAAATTACGATTTTAGCTATTTTTTCTCGGTAAAAGCCGATCCACTTAACATAGACTCTCAACCAGGCTAAGAACATTACCTTGGCTCTCACGAGTTCCCCAATCAAAATTTGAGGCAAATCCTGAGCTATGATCGGACAAACGGAGATTAATATTATATATAGATTTATCAATTATAATAAGTAAAACCCCGGTTTTTCACAAATGTGGTTTGCTTTTATGTGCTTTCAGAATTTAAGATATCAGATTTCAATTTGTTAATAATTCCTTAGTCATTAATTATAGGTCAAAGATGATAGTTGTAAGTCATCTCCAATTTCTCAGGTTCAGTGGGTTACCCTGTATAAAAAAACTTTCTCAGATTTTTAGTTCTTAAGTTCAAAGTTTTACGTAACCACATGCTTCTTCTCATACTGTACAGGTACTCCTTGTTTTCTGCGCACTGAGTTTTATATTCTGTGGAGTTCCTCTGTATTTGTGCTGGGTCATATTCCCAGTAGCAGCAGTACTCCTCTACCCAGTTGTTTATCTTGGTAAAATTTTAAAAATTTTAATTTTGACATTTTTTACTTAAAAACATTTTTTTCCACTCCCAATTTAGCGGAAAACCCCCCTAAATTTTTCAAGAAAATATACGCCCCTGTTACCCTGTATTACTTAAAAAAATATTAAAGACATTGATTTTAATGAGAATTTTTAACATCTTAAAAAAAATCGAAACTTTATTTCTTCATTGATGATTCTTTGCTATTTTAAAACAATTTTAGATATTTATATAATTTACTTCAGGTTTCTGGCATTGGCTTGCTACACAAGCAAAAGATCTTGGTAACATTAATCAAATATTTGATACAAATCTTATTGTTTCTAATAGTCAGTGGCTTTGATTTAATTTATTATCACATAATAATTACACTGTTTAATTAATATTGATGAAAAGTAAGGATCAAAAGAATGGGGGTAGGCAAGCCGCACCCATAAAGCCTCCATCCTGCACTTTACTCATAAACAAAGAGTTGCGGCAATGCGCTCTCAGTCACCCATAGTACTTCCTAGCCGCACCCCTATATTCTCCGGCAAAATGTCTTTTCTTTTAAATGCTTATCATAGAGAAATGCAGCGTTGATTTCAGATTTTTAAAGATGTCATGGCATCAATTTTATACCCTAAACTTATTAATCATATTTTTTTGGTAATATAAGTAAACATTCTCGTTCACTGGGGCAAAAGTTGTTAATTTTTGTTAAAAACTGTAATTTTTTGCGATTTTCTCCTAAAATGTAATATTTTCTACATATCTGCTAATGTTGATCTTCTCTAAAAATGTTTTTGAAGGTAAGGAGAAATTCAATCTTTACCAAAAAAAATTATCTAAGATTAGATAGATAGATTGATTGAGATAATTTTAAGCCGAATTTCACACAAAACTGTGTTATTTCTGGTAAAAATTGAATTTTTCTTTTTCTTAAAAACATTTTTTAGAGAAGATCAACATCAGCAGGCATGTACAAATATTAAATTTTAGGATAAAATCGCAAGACATTTGGTCTGAGGATATAGGGATGCGGCTAGGAAGCGCCACGAGTGAGCAAAATGCCGCTACTCTATGTTTGTGCGTAAATTGAGGGATGAAGGCTATACGGGTGCGGCTTGCCTTCCTCCCTCATCCATTGCTAAATTTTGTTTGATAAAATTTATGAAAAGTATGGATCCAATCCTTAATCCTGTTTAGATAATATTGATGAGAATTATGGATCCAATCCTAAAGCTTGTTTCTGGATTGCAGAACTTATCTCTGAGGAGATGGCCAACAATTGCAGAACTTCCGAAAAAGTTTTATTTTTAAAAAATGTTAAAGCATTTTCCAAGCCTGAAATAATCGCCGTCTGTGCTGTGTACGTAAGTGAACTTTTATTGAAGTTTTAAATAAAAATATTTTCTTAAAATAAAAATAAAAATTTCCTAGGTGAAAACAGACAAAAATATGCAAGAGCCTCCAAATACAGTAGGTAAAGATAGATTTGACCATCACTTTTAAAACTTACTTCCAGCTTTTAAGGAATTAAAGTGAAGACGTAATTTCAAGTTATTATTATTATTGATATCTTTCAACCTACAGTCAAAATATCATGTCCTGTATGTTATTGAGGTATGTTACGTTAAGCTCCAGACCACTTACCGTGTCTGTTTGGGTTTAAGTGAATAGTAAGAGTAGTATGTCCCACTCAAAACAATACTCTTTAAAGCTTTATATTCCCCATTTCAGGTGTTGTTGGCAGGTTTGCTGTTAAAAAAGATTTTCAGAGGTAAACCTTTATTAACACCTTATTGCTTAAATAAGAGATTTACAAAAAATACTTAGATCAATTATACTCCAATAGGAGTTCTGAGAATCAACACCACATAAACACATAATGACGTGTTTCAAATTTTTAAATTCACAGCTGACGTTATTTTCTAATGCTAGAGTTTTAAACTTTTCGCATCATTTCAATAATTTTGCACATAAAACATTACATGATCAAATTTTATACATTAAAATAATTGCTCAGGTTTGGTTTGGCCGGAGAAATGTTTGCAGTTTTGTGGAACCATTCCCTTTATTTATTCAGGTAATCTTAAATTGCATTAATTAAATAAAACCGTATATATATTTACAAAGCTGCCATGTAAGAGTGTTTGTAAGTCACAAATGCTGCCACGTAAATGATCCCACAACATTTCTACAATGTTTCATAATGAACAAACTCTACCTGGGAAGTACAGATGTCTGCAGAAGAGAAAAAGGAGGAAGTAGTAGGAAGCAGGTAGAAAGGAGGAAGGATTGAGAGAGGTGAAGGGTGCATAGCAGCTGGTCAGCAGGTCTAGCAGCACAACAAGGTGTTTGCGTAGTAAACTTTTGGTATAGAGTTGAACAATAGAGCATAGGTTTAAGAGAGTATAAGTAGGTAATAGGTAGGTTGACCAGGAAGGAGTTAGAGGTCAATAGGGTAGAGAAATAGTCTAAAGTAGAAAACCTTGGGGAAGACCTAGCCTAAGCCAAAGGAGCGTGTTTTAGTTTAGTTTAGTTTTAGATAATGAACTCCTGTAGGCGAATACAAAAATCTAAACACTGAAAAGGTTTTTTGAAATTATCTTCTTAATGAAGATAAGATATTACTTTGGTAGGGGTGAGGTAATTTTTAGTAAACAGGCAGCCGAACCTTTTAGTATCTTAACTCCAATCATGAAATGCAGTCATTAAATTGGCGAATTGGATCTAAGTTTTTAATTTTTTTCTTGCGCTTCATGTGGTATACTTAAAGATTTATTTTCGAAACTGAGGAGCAATAAAGAAAGCTTTAACAATATTGTACACCAAAGGGCCATTAACGGAGGTCAATATTCTTATTTCTAAGAAATAAACGGCTTAATGTTCACTTTTTTATTTCTGATTACCAATTAAGGAGCGCGCATGTCGCAAAACACGTTTGGGTGGCGGTGATTACCAGTAAAGAACTTCTGCACTCCCACCCTGGGCAGAGTCGGAAAGGTGTCACACATTGCAATTGGTGTTTCTTTCATCCTTTCAATCCCTTATAGAACAGTACCCAAAGGAAGAAGAGGAATCTCGATAAATGCAGTCTCAAAACAGGGTTGATACATCCCTTTTTATTATAAAGCTTCACACGTGTAAGTCATGTCAGTGTCACACATGTTGATATTGTAGAAAGGTAAGATGGAGGGAGGGTTTCTACATAGAGGGCTTCGTAGGTCGTAGACCCCCCTTTATTTTTAGTTACATACATAATTTTTTTCTTCAGGGCTTTGGAAGTTGACATATCTGAACACCAGGTTATTGCCAGGTTAGCATTTTTAATTAAATGATATTTGAACAATTTTTTAATGTCTGTTTATTTTAGAAATTTTTTCGAGAAGCGAGATTTCACATTCCTTCACCAGGTTTATTTTTAATATGATAATATCATAATACAGTGGGTAATAAAGTGATTTTTATTATGCTCTACAACTATTAATTGCTTCTATTCTGAACCTGTTTCAGACTGACTGCTCAGCTGTTCCTCTGCTTTTCAATTATCGTATCCAGCGCATGCGCCGCGCTTGTATCCTTAACTCCATGGAAGACGATTTGAAGGAAACCATAATTCAAAAATAAAGGCTTCCGAGTTGGTACTTATTTATTGTTATTGTGCATTTGAGCATTTATTTATTGTATAGTTTAATAATTGATAAAGTTTTAACATTTTTTATAAATATTAAGTTATTAACTTTTGCAAGCTATTTGCACTAATATAACTTACTTTAACTAATGCTGCCTCGAAAGATTCAAAGCTTTAAAAATGTAGAATAACAAGATCTTGTTTCCTCAGAGTTTTGTTACATGAATTAAAATTATGTAATATTTCATTGTTTAGTCAAAAATTATGATGCCATCAAGTAATTAGTATAGCTGAAATTAACAAACAGCGAAATAGATGCAAGTTTATTTGATATTTATTTTATTTTGTGAAGTATTAAAATAAAAAATTTTCTTCCTGTTCCAGAAAGAACTGATATTTGTTGCTTTAAGCCTGTAAAATTTTTCAGATAAAATGTCTGAATAATGGAGGCTGAGAGATCTAAACGTCTGTACATGCTTTCTATTCATATTAGGGAATTAATGGCATTTACAAAAATTGTACATTTTTACAGTGCTATAAAGTATATAGTGCTCAATGCACATCTGTACAGCGTAGTATAGTGTATATCTGCACAGTCAAGTATTGTTGTACGATTTACACTGTAAATATATATTGTATGTACAGTGAGTACAGTTTACATTTGTACATCTCCGTTCAGGTGAGGGTATATCTGTACATTGCAGCTTAGTGTACTCTGTACCTTTAAGTAAAGTGTATATCTGTACCGTGCAGTACAGTACAAATAGGTCATGATGTTTTAATTTCTTTTATTAATTTTCTACTAATTTTTTTTTGCAAAGTTGGGTTTTCCAGACTTTAATTTCAGAAATTTTCTAACAAAATTTCCTCATGGGACTGTGAGGTATTTCTCAATCTTGAGTTAATGCTGTTAAATTCAGGATAAATAAAACTGAAGATATTTCCTTGATTTTTGCTGAACCTTTCCAATCTGACCTAGGTAAGAACAAAATATATATATTTTTGTCTTTGTTGTGGGTATTATTAAGTGCGAAATAACTATTTATAACAAACATTAGTTCGGCTCTCATTGAAAAATTGTTTCTCGTAGTTTTTTCAGGTTAAAATAAATTCTACTTGTTTCAGGTAAACTCGTGCAGGACAAATTTTTCCTGAGTTTGATCGAGGAACATCTTGAGGATACTGAATCTGTTCCTGGACCTAGTCTACAGCCGGCAGGAGATGCCAAAGGTCGATAAAGTTAGCGTAAGGCCGAAGCTCCTATCCATCTAGATTATTTAATGTCCATATTTAATGCTCCACATTATCCCGTTTGAAAACTTACTACTAGGCGATCTGCCCGGATAAGACCCATTGCTGGGTTTCGTTTCTTCGGATTTTACCAGAAAACAACCATTTCTTACTCTCTGGTTTTTAACTAAGGCGGTCCGCCATGAACAGAACCATTTCTGTCTCTAGTTGAAAATCAATTAATTTGATTCTTCTATTACTTTTGGAAGCTGCAATCTGTTTTTTTGTTATTTATTTATTATTAAAGGAAACATATTTAAAGTTAAAAGATAAAAATCATACATTTTGTTTAAAATTAAATTTTGTTACAAATTCTGAAAGCATTTTTTGTGTGTTCTGACCCTAATTTTTAATTCAATATCAAAGAAACTTTTCAGACAGTAAAGAGAGCGAAGGGGAAAAGGAGGATGAGGAGATTGGTCTGAAGAATGTATCTGATGATGATTTCAAGGACGAAATTGACGAAGATGAGAATGATGATGAGGATGATGCAAAGAAAGAGAATAATTCAAAAAATCTAAATAAATTTACGAAAAAGGATGATCTCCCGATAGAAAAGGTATTTTGAGATTTTTGAAATAATTTAGAGACAAAAATAAAGTTTTGATTTTGTTAAGGTTTCTGAGAATGAATATATGTGTCGGATTTGTCAGAAAGTTTTTAACTCTGGAACAAATGCAAGGTGAAAAAGCAAAATAATTCAGAAAATTATTATTTTTACAATTCTATTCTTATCAGAAAACATGTTAAAACCCACGGGATTGGAACTGAACCTGCATCAGAGAGAACTTGTCCCAACTGCAACAGGAAGATATTCAATCCAAGAGTTTTTACGCAAAAGTATACATATGACAAAACATTAATTGTTTTTGTTTGTTTCTACACTGCCCCGTTAGATTTAATTAAATTCCATAACATCCAGATTGCATGGTTTTAATGGAAAGTGTTAATATTATGAATTTATTTGGCACATTATTTTTTGGATTTTATCTCTTTTATATTCAGAGTATTCAAATATGCAACCTTATGTAAACTCCATATCAAGCGAACATGTAAACTCAAGAAATCTCCAGAATGTGATGAGTGTGAAATCCAGTTTCAGAGCAAAGAGGAATTGAAAATACACATACGGACAGCGCACTCTTCTGATAAGCTCAAGTGCAGATTTTGTGATTTCGTCGCGTCTACTGTTGATTGTAGAAAACTTCACGAGAAAGGTGTTCATTTGGATCTCAAATGTCGAATTTGTCGAAAACTTTTTGAATCCGGAGAGGAAAAAGAAAATCATATTTGTTGCCAGCCGGAACCATTTCAGTGTGATGAATGTGAAAAGAGTTACACGACAAAGGGAGCGCTAAAGTTTCACATTGAAACTGCACATCGAGGTCTTCGATTTAATTGTCATCTTTGCCACGATGTTTTGTCCAATAAACAGGCGCTGGAGCGACATATACGCAACGTTCATGTTGTTAGCGTTAGAAACTTTAAATGTGAGATCTGTGGAAGCTCGTTTAAAGATAAAGAGTACCTGACAAGACACGAGAAGTTGCATACAGACACCCAGAAGTCCGACCCGTGTCCTCAATGTGGGAAAGTTCTGACCAACCACCGTGCTCTAAAAATACACATTAAGAGAGTTCATGAACGTAACTTTAAGCACACTTGTGAAGATTGTGGTAAAACGTTCCCGTACCTGAACACGTTGCAGATACACATGGAGATGGTGCACATGAAGGGCTCCCTGCACATGTGCCAGGTGTGTGGGAAGGAGTGTATAGGAAAGAAAAGATTGCACAATCATATGCAGAGAAAGCATCCTAAAGGACAACAGTTTGGAGATTGTGAAGTCTGCAAAAAGGTATTTTTTTATTTTAGTAGTATTTAACAATTTGTGTTTTCTTTTTGTTGACAAAATCAGTTTTTTAAAATCGCGTAGAATAGTATCACTTAAATAGTGCATACACTATTTGAAGTCTTTTTTAATACATTCCAGAATTAAACATTTCAAAGTTAATATTTTTATTTTTTCAAGGTTTTATGTTTTTATTTTATGATCAAAAATAGCGATGTCAGCCTAATTTTAATTTTTTTCTATATTGGACTGAAATAATCTGGATTTCTTTTATGTTTTTTAAATTCGATTCATCAATTTATTTCCAGGAGATCCCATTGTCTCAGATGAAATCTCATGTTTACGAGATCCATAAGATGGCTGGATATAAGTTCCAGTGCGATTACTGTCCTAAAAGGTAAAGATTGATAAGAGTCAGACTTTGGATGCATTTATTTCTTTTTATTTTCTAGGTTTGACACAAAAGCCCATATCCGAGTACATTTAAGGTGAGAACAAATACACATTTTATTTGTTTGGAATAAATCAATTTTTGTTTTTTATTTTAATTTTAATATATTTGATATATCACCTTATAACGTTATTTTAATAGACGCTTTATTTTTGGCGTGTCATGTCCGATTTACTGAGGTACCCTTGACATATTTGTCTGATCAAAACTGCTTAACCATGTCTTTTGCTTTAAAAATTGATGATTTTCAATAATGGTTACTCTGAAAGTGATTTGAGAATTTCTGGAAATAATTAGAATCAAACACCTTTCAAGCTGGAAAAACGATGATATCTTACATTTTTGAATAGATAAAGAATTAACATTGTGTTAACTTTTTGTGTTTATTTAGAAAGCATACCAAAGCCAGACCTTACCTTTGTCGTGGTTGTGGAAAACACTTTAGGAATTTTATCATAATAAATATTTTTTTTTAACAATTAATATATAAAATTTTCATAAAATATTTAATGCAAAAGTGTACAAAATTATTTGAAAAGAGTTAAAAATCTATAATGATACAAGGATTGGTTTTATCTTATTGTATATGAAGAAAAATGGTCGCTGGTAAATCAACAATTAAAAGCCAAAAATATGACAGGAAAGAGTGGCATGAAGATCCCTTAAAGCCTCGGTTTTATATTTTGATGAAGATGTGTGTCCAGAGATCTGATGATTACTAAGAAGCATATCAGGATGAACCATGCTGCTGATTTCTCTCTCTGCTTCTATGATGTCACAAGAGACATATCAAATCCATACACAACATGACTTATGTAATTTCTGTAGAATCGACTTGAAAAAACAATCAAATGCATTAGAAATTGGTTAACAAACAAACTAAACTAAGGAAATAATATTAACACCACATGCATTGAATGCATTACTTTCAAACTAAGAACCAATTTTTACTTTAAAAATGGGTTCTAACATTTTAGCATTGTTACATTAGAAAAATAAAAAACAGTGATAGTCAGAACAAGAGCATACAACATAATTGCAACCTTTCATAATGTTAACTGTTCCAACTTGGAATAGTCGGATTTCACCAGAATTATTTTTTAATATAATTTCTTGGGTATGTGCTCATGGAACCTCACAAATATGATATAATAATAATCTTATGAGGATATAAATGTAATAATGGAATTTTTAAGATTATCTAATTATCTGAATTATCTGAAATAAATACTTTTAAGCTAAGAAATGACAATATTTTCACATCATTAAAAATTTCGTAAAAAATTCTCACCCCACAACATTTATATCAATATTATCATTATCTATCATTATCATTTTTATTATCATTATGCTGAGCCTGATAGATTCAAAACAAAATCTTCAAATCCCAGTGATATTTTTGACAAAAATTATTGTTACGATTGCGAACAGTTATCTTCCGGTGCCAAACATCTATTTTTATAAAAATATTTTTCAGATAAACTAAATAGTAAATATGTTTTCGTGTATTTAAATATGGCGAATTTTAAACTTGGAGGCCTGTCTTTGCGGATTTGGATAAATGAATTGGACGATGCAGTTGTAATATTTGCAGATCCTTGGTTCAATCAGTTCAGTGACATGGTCAAATATCCTGACATTGTTAAAATTGTATCCTCCCTAATTTGTGAAAATAATGAATTAGAATTCAACAATCGTGATTTCAAAAAAAGAAATGAAAAAAAGGCAGAAAAAAGTATTATAATAACCCAAGACTTAAAAAGAGACGTAGATTTGATCCGTGAGGAAACCATCGAAGATGAATTCATCAAGAAACTCCAAAAAAGTGCGGATACCTTAAAAGAGGCTGAGTTCAAAGAGGTAACGACCACGACAAAATTAATGTTTAAAAATTTTTAACCCTTTAAATTGTTAATTTCCCTTATTTATCCTTTTATTAATAATATTTTAAATTGTTGTATCCTTTTATAAGAGTACTGAGGAAGATCTTGAGATAAAATTTGATGAAGAAGAAGAAGAAGATATAAAGATTAAGGTAGAAGAAGATATGTCTACGCTTGATGATCTTCAGGCAGATATTAGTTTTCAGACAGAAGAGAAAGATCCACCGATTGAAAAGGTAATATTTTGCCTAACTTCATTGAGAACAAACATTTTTCATAATTTTGATATTTTTAACTTTTTTCAAAATTTAGAAATCTGCACTCTACAACTAATTATTAATGGGACTGTTGTTAAAAATGTTAAGTGACCCTCCATTAAAAGAGGACCTTAACCAATTCACAACAGTACAATTTAAACCTTTATCTAATCAATGATGGACATCGTCGTTNAATAAATATATTTGTAGATATCAACTTTAAAAGCCCTTGTAATACAATAAATATATTTGTAGATATCAACTGTACAAGCCCCGGAATACAATAAATATATTTGTAGATATTAACTGTACAAGCCCCTGTAATACAATAAATATATTTGTAGATATAAACTGTACAAGCCCCTGTAATAAATAAATATATTTGTAGATATCAACTGTACAAGCCCTTGTAATACAATAAATATATTTGTAGATATCAACTGTACAAGCCCCTGTAATACCATAAATATATTTGTAGATATCAACTGGTGAGTTTTCTTGTAAGATCTGTAACAAAGTGTTAAGCTCCAACAGTAATGCCTTGAAACATATTAAAATTCACGGACTGTTCATTGAACCTGTCTCAGCCAGAACCTGCTCTAATTGTGACAAAGTATTTAAATATGCAACTCTTTGCAAACTACACATGAAGAGAACTTGTAATTATAAAAACCATAAATGTGATATATGTGAACTAGATTTTACAACTCTAAAACTGCTAAAAGAACACACAGTGAGATCACACAATTTGGTTTGTTCTTCTGAAGAAATCCCCAGTTTAAAATGTAATGAATGTGAAACAGATTTTATAAGCAAAAAGGATTTGGTTCAGCATGTGGAAAGTGTTCACAGTGGAACCAAATATTCATGTGATATTTGCAATGCCTCCTTGTCAAACGAAAGAAATTTAAAACGACACATTAAATATGTACACGAAGTACTGGTGAGAAATTATGCTTGTGATATTTGTGGGAAAGCATTTAAAGACAATCGAGCTCTTAGAAATCATTTTAAAATTCATAACACTGAAAATATCCTACTTCCATGTATTGATTGTGGAAAAATGTTTTCCAACAAAAATGGACTGAAAGCACACATTAGAAGTTTACACGAGCGGGATAATAAACATGTTTGTGAAGAATGCGGGAAAGGCTTCATAAATCTTTGTAGCCTAAGGACGCACGGAGAGATGGTGCACATGAAGGGGAGCGTGCACGTTTGCCAGGAGTGCGGAGTTGAGGTGCTCGGTAAGAATAGATTAAGAAATCATATTCAAAGAAATCATCTCCTGGATCAAAAGTTTTTAGCCTGCAAATATTGTCAGAAGGTAGAATTTTTTATTAAAATCTTATTTTAAAAAGATTTTTGGGAAGTTTACTGAATAAAAAGACATTTTTGAATTGTCTTAACAACTATCTTATTTTTAAAATGTTTCGGTTATTCAACCTTAGTACAAAATGCATTGTTTTATGCTGAAAATATGATTTTTAAGATTTACACAATGAAACTACTCCTGCCCTATTTGACAAATTTATTACTTTTTTTTTTGGTTTTTCTTAAACCTGATTTTAGGAGTTTCCCAAGAAGAAGCTGAGAGCACATGTAGTAAAGGAGCACAAAATTTAAGATTTCAAGTTCTCGTGCACATTTTGTGCAAAGGAAAATCATTATTTTTAACTTCTCTTTTATTAACAAGTTAAGATTAACATTATAACATGTTAATGACCTTGATCCGGATCCGGTTCCGTAAAAAAAAAATGGATCGTAAGCACTGGTCACCATAAATTTACAGTAATATCGATCACAAAATTATTGGGGACATAAATGGAAGGTTAATTGTGATTATCATTCTTGCATTTGAAGATCTGTTTTTCTTAGAATTCACACGAAGAGTCGACCCTATGTGTGCAAGGGTTGTGGAGACCAGTTTAGGGATCTGAGCGGAATAAATCTTCACGTTAGGAAAAATATTTTTCAATAAGTTTCATTAGATTTTAAATACTTTCCTGCTGCGTCTGAACTTGATATCTACAGCGGAAACTTTTGATTTTCAGCAATTAATTGATTAATCCGTGTAAAATGTAAATAGCTGACTTTTATTTTTGCTGTTTCTCAAAGGGCGGGAAGAATTCTGATTGGTCGATCCATCCAGCAAAATAGTATCTTTTTAGTTTATCCGTCGGACAACAGAAGAAACGAAGTAATTATTCTAAAAGGATTAACAGATCAAAAGTTCTGAACTTTGGTTCAATTTTATTTTATTAAAATAAGTAAAATTACAAACCGATGATTCTCTCTCCTTTACGAATTGGGCAGAATGTTAGGTTACTTTTTGTCTCTTTGGGCACTTGTAATGTGTCTTGTTTTCTAAAAAAAGTTTAAATGATTATTTTTTCTAAAACCATCTTTGATTAAACTTTGAACAATTTAAATAAAAATATATTTTTTTTAGAAAACTGCACGAGGGGAATAATTCTCTTGTATTCTACGATGTTACAAAAGATCAGAATAATCCTTTCACATCTTAAAGATGCTGTCTTTTTACCTTGACATCTTAAAGGGCTGTCTTTTTACCTTCACATCTTAAAGATGCTGTCTTTTTACCTTCACATCTTAAAGATGCTGTCTTTTTACCTTCACATCTTAAAGATGCTGTCTTTTTACCTTCAAGAGTGACATGTCTGATTTAAAACGGTTCCCTTTAATCCTGTGAGTGATCAAAAATCTGGAAGATATCGTCTAGCATAAAAAGCGTTTCATTCTGAAAATATTCTCCACCGTTTCTGCAAACATAAATCTGCAAGTCTTTCAAAAGAGAACCCACAGTTTCAAATTATCAATTTTCTAAAAGAGAAAAATGGATAGTTCACTCATTCTTTGTTAAAACAAAGCTTTTAAAGGTATCGTTGTGAATCAAATTTGTCGCTCTATAGTTTGATAACTTAAAATCACGCCTACAGTCCCTTTTAATTACTTTATTTACGCCTACAGTCCCTTTCAACAACTTTATTCACGCCTACAGTCCCTTTTAATAACTTTATTTACGCCTACAGTCCCTTTTAACAACTTTATTCACGCCTACAGTCCCTTTTAATAACTTTATTCACACCTACAGTCCCTTTTAATAAATTTATTCACGCCTACAGTCCCTTTTAATAACTTTATTCATGCCTACAGTCCCTTTTAATAATTTTATTCTCGCCTACAGACCCTTTTAATAACTTTATTCACGCCTACAGTCCCTTTTAATAACTTTATTCACGCCTACAGTCCCTTTTAATAACTTTATTCACGCATACAGTCCCTTTTAACAACTTTATTCACGCCTACAGTCCCTTTTAATAACTTTATTCACGCCTACAGTCCCTTTTAACAACTTTATTCACGCCTACAGTCCCTTTTAACAACTTTATTCACGCCTACAGTCCCTTTTAACAACTTTATTCACGCCTACAGTCCCTTTTAATATATTTATCTTGATGTTTGAAGGAACTATATTTAATTTGTCCTCTAAAAACCCTGATTGTAGAAGGAAAACTTGTCCTTGTATTTCTTCCTGCTTCAATTGATTGGAAACGCGATTATCCTTTCTACCAGGAAAACTTTATATTTCGTAAAATTGAGTTTATATTTTTATTTCGTTATATTTTTATTTTATTATATTGTTATATTGTTAAATTATTGTTAAGTTGCAGATAAAATGATGGAACGGGACCTGCAAAGTTTAACTATACGAATAAGAACTAAACAAGCCGATGATGTTTCTCTCATATTCGCCGAACCTTCGACCAAAGTACATATTTAATATATATTTTCCCTCAACAAAAAATTTAAATTCTGAACACAATTTTGGCATTGGTTTTGTTATTTTCTCGAAGTATATATTAGCGAAAAATCATTCCCCCCTCCCCTTCAGAAAACATATCCCCTCCCCCCCCCCCGAAGATATGTATGTTTTTTTAGCTTTTTATTTATTCCATGAATACGGGAAAATAAATCATTTTCATCAAAAAGAATGAAAAAAAAACTTGCCTTTTTAAGTCCAATTTGTCATTGATTATTAAAATTGTAGTTCTTAACATTATTACCCATGAATATTTGTTATTAAATATAAAGATATTTTGATCAGACTTATTCATATTTAGGACATGGAAACTGTAGTGTCTGACAACTATCTGATAATTTTACTCCGGTCCTTGCTCTGGCCGGAGGAGGAGAAGGAGGTGACTTCGTTGCAATGTCCAGAGGAGAGGGTAGAGGTAAAACTAGAGACGGAGGCGGGGAACCTAGTTCTTATCCGGGCTGGAGCTGGCAAGCAGATACACACTCCGGTATAGTCAAATTTACAAACTTTTAATATTTAATTATTTCTTAAGATTTTCCCAATATTTTGTAGGCCATATTTTTTATATGAACTAATAAACAAATCAACAATTAGACGCACAAACCAAATATATTTATAATTTATGTACATAAACAAAAACATGTTTACCTAGGATGATGTTATGGATGACGATGATGAAGAAGATGAACCTAATGAACCTGGAGATGACTATGGAAATCAGACCGATTTAGAGAATGACGAAGATGAAGAGGAGAATAAGGATGAGGTGAAGATATATCCCCTTGTATTGAAAACATGATTAAAATAAATCCTTTTTTGAGCTGCAGCGTTTAGATTAAACCAAGAGAAAATAAAGTAAATTCTAATTATTATTATGGGGTCACATCTTTGTCTGGATACAAAATAAATAGTTTGACTTCTACTGTTATATTTTCATTCTTTTTAATACTTTTCTATTTACCCTAAATCAGCCATAAAACACTTGTTGTCGCACCTTGCACATTTTTTTGGTTTGTATATTAAGTAACTGAATTCTCATTCCAATCAATTCTCAGAATTCAGATTTTGAATTTTAGATTGATGAAAAGAAGAACGAGGAGAACCAAGAGGAGAAGAAAGAGAAGATTACAAGAACAAGAACAAGAGGGCAGAAAGCACTGAACAAGACCAGGACAAATATCAAAGATCTGTTGAAATTAATAGAAAAGGTAGAAACCATTTTTACATATTTTAACTTACATACTTAAGCTTTTGTTGCGTACTGCAGTGATCAAACGCTGCACTGCACTCTGCAGTACACTACAAAAGAAATTGTGAGTGGACAATGTAATTAAAACAATTGTAATTACTTATGATATTTTAAGAATATTCTATTCTAGATTGATGATGATGAATATCTATGTATTATGTGCAGCAAAGTATGGCCGAGTGAGTTAAACGCCCGGAAGCATGTGCGAGAGCACGATCTTGATCCGAGTGCTGAGAAGGAGAGAGCTTGTCAACATTGCTCTAAGATATTCTCCTCTCAAGTCTTGCATAGATTACATGACCACCAGGGCTGTAGCCTGCAGAGGGAGGTCCATTGCGGAGCATGTAAGGTACCATTAAGAATGTTTTTGATATTGTTTTTTTTGTAGAAAAAGTCAATTTAACGATTAAGTCATAATTTGAGGGAGGGATGATGTTTGTCTGACAATTATATCCCCAAATAAACTACAATAAATACTTTCAAACGCCATAGAAAAATCGACAGATACAAATTATGTCGATAACAACTATCTTATACAGCATTCAGAGGAGGAGGAGGGGGGGGGGGGTCCTTTTTTATTTATTATTCAAAATAGCACTGATTCTATGCCTGCAATGCATACATATTTTGGAAAACTCCAGACTCTTGTCTTCCTGGTTCTTAATAACCATTATATCTGTTTTAGGAAGAGTTTGCTTCTGTTTCACTTTTGGAATTGCATATAAAGTCAGCGCACAAAGATGGGTTTCAATGTGATTTCTGTGAATATGTAACCGATGTATTAGGACACAAAATCCTGCACGAGAAAAGATTGCATCTAAACATGGATTGTAAAAGTTGCACCAAGGAACGCATTCATTTAAATTAAAATTAAAATTCTTAAAAGATTAATTTTTTAAAAATTAATTTCTAAATTTAAAAGATTAAAAATGAAGCAATGGTATCTTCGAAGGTCTTTCAGTCAAACGATGAAAAAATTTCGCATTTCTGTGCCCATCCAGACCGATTTCAATGTGATCAATGTGAGAAAAACTACAAAGTAAAAGGAGAATTAAAAAAGCACATTGACAGCATACACCGAGGAATTAGGTTTCCCTGTTCTACCTGCTCAGAAGTATTGTCATCGTCTCAGTCTCTAAAAAGACACGTGAGAACTGTTCATGAAACAGTGTTCAAAAACTACAGGTAGGAAATTCGGCATTGTCCCTGTCCCTTTTTTCTCTAAAAGCTTTTTCAATTAACACAAATTTTATATTAAGATGTGATATATGCAGCAAAGCGTTTAAAGACAATGAGTACCTGTTAAGACACATGAAGATTCACGAGGAGAACACCAAATCCTTTGTGTGCCAGGAATGCGGGAAATTCTTTAAGTACAAAGTCACGCTCAGATCTCATATTAGAACAATGCATGACAAAATATTCAAACAAACTTGTGAAGAATGCGGGAAATCGTTTGCAGACATGCACAAACTCAAGGTATGAAAATTTATACTGGTTGTAGATTTTTATACTCTGTGATCTGTGCGTACTTCGGAAGGAGGCAGAGGGTTGCAGGGAAGAGTGGTTACCTGATAGCTAGATAGAATGATACGTGTTCATAAAGATCAAAGAGCTGAAATTCTAATTCTGATATTTTTAGAATTTTGTAGACTGTAACAGTAGACGTAATTTCGGGTGACCCGCCACGTGTTATTTATCCTCAGTCTTCACATTAGTGCTCATAAAACCTTGAGATATCCGTGTTTTCTTCTAATAATTTTAAAATTTTCACTTTGGGTTATATGCAGCAAAGAATAGGAATGAAATTGACAGTATTATATCTTCTGAATTGTCATCCAGGGTTAAGGGGAACTAAGGTTGTAAGGATCACTTGAAAATACGTCAACAGTTTCTGTAATGCTAATTCTTTCAGGTCCACGGAGAGATGGCGCACATGAAGGGTGAGGTGTACATGTGCCAGGTGTGCGGAAAAGAGATGATTGGAAAGAATAGATTAAGAAATCACATGATGACTCATCCTAAAGGACAGAAGTTTGTTTCCTGTGAACAGTGTGGAAAGGTGAAATAACAAATTTGAAAACTTTAATTTTTTAGTCTTGGGTTTAAAATAATTACATTAAACAATACAATATCAGAAATTAAGAATTTAGAGTTTTATCCGAATTAGTCATTTTTCTTCAACTAATTGATGAATTGATAAATTAATAAATTTTTACAAGTTTATAAATCAATAAATAATGAATTATTAAAAGAATAAATAAATAAATTAATAAAATAGTGAGTATTGAGTAATCAATGTTTTGATAAATGAATTAATTATTAATTTAGCAGATAAAAAATAACCATTGTCAAAAATTATTGTATTCCTGCAGGAGGTGGCAGAAACCCAGCTGAGATCCCATATTGTTGCGGCGCATAAAATGCACTCCTACAAATATCCTTGCCAGTTCTGCCCTAAACGATTAGACACTAAAGCGCATATACGGGCGCATATTAGGGAGGACACAGTTATAGCTTTAGTTTTGATTAGTAATTTTGTTTGTTAGTAATATTGAGTTTCTTTAAAGACAAAGCCCATAATACCGACACATGTCATAAATAATGAATATGGTTTTCGTTACAAATGTGGATTGAAACCATAGGGTATTTATTTGTTGATTGATTGATAAATCAATTATTCTGTCGAAATATATCATTCAGTCCTTTTATATCAAAGGATGTTCTAGCACTAGCAAACAACAATTTTAGTCAACAAAAACATAACATGCTCAAAGCCCATTTTATTTGACAAAGATTGAACTTGAAATGTTTTTTATCATAATAACATTTGATTGGTGGATTATCCTTGGCTATAGTTGTTCTGTATTAGGAAGCATACAGGAGGCCGACCCTATTTATGCCGAGGCTGTGGCAAATATTATCCTCTATTAGAAACTGCACAGAAACACACAAGGCTAGAAAAAAATATTAAACTTAGAACTGTCTGTTTACTTTCTACTGTGATGTATTAGGACAGCTTTAGAACTAGTTTTATTGTAAACAAACAGAACTTAGTAAACAATGGTTGCGGATTGCGGAGGCCCTGTGTTGTTTATATTAGTAGACTTTGATAACATTTAATCTAGTTCCAGAGCTATCCGAATACGACACTGTGAAATGTAAACAGATTCCCCCCCCCCCATATTAGTTTTTAAACAACGTTTTTTTTCTTTTTTTTCTAGAATTTTCCACAATGGTGACTATTCTCTGATCTTCTATGATATACAGAAGGATATTAATAACCCATACGTAAACGGGAACTAGAAGTTTTTCACTAAAATGAAGGAAACAAAAAGATAGGGGGTGTGAAAAATCTTTTTAGTAGCTTAAAAATATATATTTTCTTAATTAAAGAACTGGAAAGTGTCATTTATCCTTAACTACAGCTTGTAAGTTGTAACATAATGGGGGTAGAGGGGTTAAAGAAGTGTAAGGTATTTTTTTTTATTTTGAAATTCAAACTGCTAACCTATCATATATTATAATTAAAAAACCATTAAAAAAAATAGTTTTTAAGTATAACAAAGAACATGTTTTTCCGTGTGATCATTTATATTTCTTGGGACGGTCCCTTCTTTTGAAAAGTTTTTCCAGATTTTTATTTCTCTTTCAGATGAGATAATCTGACAATCAAACAATCCAGTGATATTTTTATATATTACTGCAATGATTATATTCATTTTATATATTCTATTGTTATGTTTTATATGTATTAGATAAAATTTTAAATTTTAAATGAAAAAGTTTATGAATAATATCTTGAAATATAAATTTACAGAAGAAATGAAACATGAATGAATAATAGTTCTAGCATTTCCACTATTAATTCAATCAAAAACTTTTTCTTTTTCCAAAATGCATCTTAAAGAAAATCAATTTCGTATATTATCACTGCCATACCACAAACAAATTACCAACTCTAACATTATTGTTTCCTATACTTTTAAATTTTACGATAAATCCTCTTTTAGTTGAGGTATATTTCAATTAGAATTTTAGTATCCAATCATATGAAATTAGATGAGTAAGTCATATTCTGCAAAAAGAAGAAAACAAAACATAATTTACTGGAAACGACAATAAAAATATCAGAAAAGGATTGTTTTATTAAAACTAAACATATGGAAAACAATACTTCACACAGGTGCTAATTGAGTTAGAAGACGACATTCTAAATTGAATAATTTGATAAGGAGTGAGGTTGGAGAAGATGTTGGGATAATATTTGCTGATCCCTGCTTCCAGGACCTAGAGGAGATTATCCTGGAGAAATATATTCTAAATATAATCTGCTCAGCACTCTGGCCGGCTCAGCTACATCATCAGGTGTGGGTTAACTATTCATTTATATTCTCAATATCATCAGCTTAGCACTCTACTCTGGCCAGTTCAGCTACATCATCAGGTGGGTTAACTATTCATTTATATTCTCAATATCATCATCTTAGCACTCTACTCTGGCCAGTTCAGCTGCNAGAAATATATTCTAAATATAATCTGCTCAGCACTCTGGCCGGCTCAGCTACATCATCAGGTGGGTTCTATGTATTGTATATAAAGTAGTAATCTCTATTTGTCTGTTTGTTTGTTTCTAACCTTTGTCCGATTTGCAAAAAAAATTTGATTTGGAAATCTTAGGACAATGGGAATATTGAGACAGAGAATAAGAAAGGAACAACAAAAAATGTACAGATGGATAAATTTTTATTTTTTTCTGATTCATTGTTATTTGTTATAATTCTATTTTTATTAGACCGAAGTCAAGACCGAGAACTTTGGACTAAATCAGGTTCGATTATTTTATTAATTTTTAATGAGATCTCATGAATAGGTTAGAACATTATAATTATATTTGATTGATTAATTGATTGTTAAATCGAAAGATTGTTTGATTGATTTATAATCTGTTAGTTGATGGATTATTCAGTTTACTGACTGACAATTGATTGACTGTCACCATGAACAATCAAGCCTTGTCAGAGATTGACGAGGAAAAAGATATTGTAGTTACTATGCATGCAAACTTAAAATCTTCAGTGCATTGCAACCAATCAGCCCAAAAAGCAAACCGTATATTGTCACTTATTTATAAAGCATTTCATTATAGAGACAAAGTTACATTTATCAATCTTGATAAACTTTATGTGAAACCTCACCTAGAGTTCTCCGTCCCTTGGTGTCCTTGGAGTGTAGGAGATAAAGAAACTATTGAAAAAGTGCAAAAAAGGGCGGTTTCAATGGTTTCAGGACTCACTGGCTCATCGTACAGTGAAAAACTAATAGAACTCAATTTACAATCCCTTGAAAATCGAAGACTCCGCTATGATTTAATTGAAACCTATAAAATTATTCATGGTGTTAATAATGTTAATAAATGTACTTGGTTTTCAATGTTAGCAGATACATCCAATAGGATTACAAGAATGTCAGAAAATCCTCTTTCACTTAGTGCCAAATTTTGTAGAACCGATATTCGTAAACATTTTTTTAGCCAAAGAGTTGTTTCTCCATGGAATGATTTACCCTGTGATATAAAAACTGCACCAACGTCAAATACTGTTAAATCTAAATATGAAAATATGTAAAAAAATTCTGATCTGTTCTAGTTTCTATTGTTCGGACAAAAAGAGCCTAAAAAAGATTACTTAAAGAAAACAGAGAAGCCAAACAAAAAAGATTAAAATTTTTTTTTTAAATCAAAATTTTTTTTAAAAATAAAATTTTTTTTTTAAATAAAAAAATATTTAAAGAACAAAAATAAACTCGACGGAATAAAAGAAAAAATGTCCTTTATTTCTAATCTTGATGCACTAGATAGTCGTAAATATTGAATACAATATTTTCTGCATATTAATGTAATAAATGCACCCTTATGAATATCATGACAACAATCTGAAATTTTCTTATAAACTCAGCCATACTATAAAACATAAAACATAAGACATATATTGGTATATTGACGGGTAGATAATTATTAGATTTATGGAGTATTAAATTGATAGATTGTTAAATTGACAGATTGATGGATTGTTGACAACAAATAATACTGATAGATAGTTGAATTGATAAATTGATGGAATTTTAACTTGATAGATACAGTAAAGGATGGTTATTATTGTTTTGTTAAGTCTTTTGATTGACTGTTTGATTGATTGATTGATTGATTGATTTAATATAATATGTTTATCAAATTTATCATTAAGGAGGAAGCCTGTATTTCTGATAAAAAAGAAGATGAGGCGGGGTCAAAGATAACACAAGAAAAACTGTTTTCTCAGCATTCAATCTCTACAGACAAACCGGTTAGTCCACTTACTGCTATTTAATATAATATTTAACTTTTAAGATGAAATGAAGGGGGTTTGATTTTCTGTAGTGAAAAAATGCATATTATTATTTTTCTCCGGAAGGTTATAGGTAATTGTGGGTAGGAGTGGTTACCTGGCAGCACTTGTGATAAAAATCTAGGTGTAGTTAAGCAACTTCTTTTGAATTTGAACCGAAAAGTAGTTCAACTTAGTCCACGTTGTTAAACTACTTCTCCCTATTCATTTGTTCCAGGAAGTCATTATATATAAATAGTTAGATCTTTATTTTTAATTTTTCCTGAAGGATGTGAGTGAGCCTGGTCTGTTTTCTCCAGATTTTAACACTGATCTCTGTGATCTACTGGAGGATTACCAGGACTTGAATGAATCCTTTTCTCAGAAACATTTATCTATCTCCTCTATAACATAGTTCTAGCATTTCCACTATTAATTCAATCAAATAAGCTAACGAGAGAAATAATTTTAATAAACAAATTTTTGTGAAAAAACTGAAAAAATAATTAGATAAAAAAATTTAACATTTTAGAATGTTCAGACCAAAACACAAATGGAGACGGAAGAAAAGACAGAAGAAGGGTTGGTAGAGCCTAAGGAAGGGGTGAGAGGAGAAATCAAGAATAACGACTTAAAGGATCAGAATTCAAGCATTGATGACATTGAATTATCAGATCTCGATGGAGACTCACGCGATAGATTAAAAACTAAAACTATTTGCAGACAGTCTCCTCTTTTTTCCTGTGATAACTGTGATAAAATCTTAGAAACAAGTAGAGAACTTAAAAAACACAAAAATTTACACCATAAAGGTCGAGGGTTTTCATGTGACGAGTGTAGCGATGTGCTCTCCACCTTACAGTCATTAAAAAGACACATTAGGAACGTCCATGAAGTAGTCATTAAAAATGCCAAATGTGAAAAATGTGGAAAAGTTTTCAAAGACAACGACAATTTACGCAAGCACATGAAAATCCACGAGGACGCCGCTAAATCATTTATCTGCCAAGACTGTGGAAAAGTTTATAAGAACAGTCCGTCCTTGAGGACGCACATGATAATTATGCACGAGAAGAACTTTAAGAAAACCTGCGAGGAATGTGGGCGAAGCTTCCCAAACATGCACAATCTCCAGGTGCACAAGGAGATGGCGCACATGAAGGGTGAGGTGTTCATGTGCCAGGTGTGCGGAAAAGAGATGATTGGAAAGAATAGATTAAGAAATCACATGATGACTCATCCTAAAGGACAGAAGTTTGTTTCCTGTGAACAATGTGGAAAGGTGAGAGGACATTTTAATATTTAAAAAAAATTAGGTTTCGTTTAATTATTATTTTTGATATATAATAATTATATAATGGATATTTGTACAGGAGGTTCCTGAAACTCAGCTCCGATCTCATGTTTCTCAAGCACATAAAATGCAGGTAGATTGTATTGCATATCATTTGTAAATTTTTCATAGATTATTACTTCCTAAAATCCATTTATTTCCGTTTAATTTGTTTTTATGTTATTTTAGATATGCAAGTTTAGTTATTTGATTAATTGTTTGCGAATTTGTCTCTTTTTCAGTCATATCGTTATCCCTGTGATTTTTGCAACAAAAGATTTGCGACAAAACAGCATATTAGAGTTCATCTCAGGTTACCATTTTGGTTTTAAAAATTTGGGATTACACTTACACTGTTCCTAGTAAACTTTTATTTTAAAGAACGCCAATGTCATAAGAGAGTCACAATAAACTAATAAGAATTTAAATGTAAAATGTTGAATTTCTAAATAAGATACTCAGTACTCACCACGGATTTCTACAGCACTGACAGGAAAGGAAAAGACTCGTATTTCATATATAATATTTGATTTTAAACTACAAAGCATGAGATATTACGAATAAGGAATCACAATTAACTATGCAGTTTGGATCCGCCTAACCAAGGCAGGTTGACATTTTTAAAGATATTTTGAAGTTAAAAATCAAACTAGATTTTTATCCAAAATAATCTTGTATGTCTTTTTTTTAGGAAGCATACTGGATCCAAACCGTTCCAGTGCCGAGCTTGTGGAAAGTATTTTCCATTCATAGTTTCAGTTCGGAAACATATTCGAGTATTTCACGAGGAGAACTATAGTCTTGTCTTTTATGATGTGTCACGTGACGCTAATAATCCGTATATAACCAGTACTGCATCCTAACTATTTAAGAGATGTTGGATAAGCTGAATATCTAAATTACACCGTTAAAAGGAATGTAGGCGTAATTTCAAGTGACCCTCCAGTTTTACGGCTATTTGAACAACATTTTGGAGATAAACACCCATAGCTTTCTGCCCTCGATGATCAGTCAAAGGTTAAAATGGTACCGTTGTGAATCGAGCATTCCCCTCTTTAAAGTAAAATATGAAATTAATTCATACAAAAATTATTTTCTTGTTTCCTTGTCTTCTTACCTATAACGGTGAATTTTCATTTTAGAAATTAGCATTGTAATGCTTATAATTATTTCAACACAGAACAGCAAACTTCTAATTGGTGTAAAATCAAAAATTGATTTAAATCAGCAAACTCAATGTTGCTTACTCCATGTTTTGTTGGGTTTATGTTTGCTTACTCCATGTTTTGTTGGGTCCAAGTTTGCTTACTCCATGTTTTGTCAGGTCCAAGTTTGCTTACTCCATGTTTTGTTGGGTTTATGTTTGCTTACTCCATGTTTTGTTGGGTTTATGTTTGCTTACTCCAAAATAGTACAACCCCAGAACTTCATGATTTAATTGGATTGGGTTGGGTTGGGTTTGATTTGATTTGATTTGATTCGATTTGGTTTGGTTTGCTTTGGTTTGGTTTGGTTTGGTTTAGTAAATATTGATTTTAAACCTTTCTTTGACTTAAATTCTTAAGATCAATGTAGATCAATGTTCTGAAATACTGTTTGCAATTAATAATTTTAATTTAAAGAAGGATTTTCAATTGCTGGAACTACAAAAGATTGTTATGTTAGCATAATAAAGCTCTTCGCTTATATATATATATATATATATGTTAGCTATGGCTGGCCAAACGGCTGGACCGAATGGACTGAATTTTTTTAGGGAACCCTTGAGTACCCTAGGCGTAACATAGACTAAAAAAATAAAAAATAAAATTTTTTGTCTATAGTTAAATTATTTTTTCAAAATTTGATTTAAAACAATTTAACGGGCTACGCCGGAAACTCCAGATAGTATAATCATAAACCACTACATAATGATTATTTATTATATTTTCAGATTATTATGGGTGGTAAGATGGAACTTCTAGGTTTATCAGTTAGAATTTGTTTCTCTCCTGCTGCAGACCTTTCCTTGATATTCGCTGATCCTAGGATGCAGGCAGTCAAATATATACATCTAAAATATCTTATCTTTTTAGCGACCCCTCCTGCACTCCTCCAAAATTAAATTTTTAATGTTGACTAGTCAACTAACTTGTTGTTCTGTTTCAATACAGTATTTTCGGTTACAGTTAGAATAGCTTGGGAATTTCTTTGCCTGTATAAAACTAAGCTCTCTTTTTTTTGGATTCTTCCTTTCTACATATCTCTGAAAACCGTTAACAAAAAAGAATGATGCACTAGTATTTCAACTTAACGCAACGGCCCGGTTTTCCCACATTTTTTAAATTGTCAGGGGTTAGGTGTAGATCCATATTGACGGATTTTTTTCTCTTAGATGGCAGATTCCCCCCTAACATGGACCAGAATGCAGTAGTAGGGTTTCCCTCATAACTAACTGATTTTCCCCCTTAAAATTTTTCTAAAAATTCATAGAGGATTCTTTTAAAATTGGCAGATTTTTTTATTCAAACTTGGCAGAATATTTCCAAATTTGATATCAATTCATGATTGATTATGTGTATAATCTGAATGCAGGATGTTGAAACTATGATATCTGAGAAATATATTCTCGAGATTATCCAGCATATCATCAAAGAACGGAAAGCTGGATACACAAAGGTATGATTTAAATAATTGTTACAATACTTTGTATAGAGAAGATTTAGAAACAAAATGGAAGATTATTATAAAAAATGGACATTTGACAACTTTTAGTAATTGATTTTTATGTGGGCTTGAATAATATAAATTATGAAAAACTGAACTTTTTAAATTCCTTATTTTTAAAGCAGGAAATCTCGAGATCACTTTTCAGAAAAACCACAACTAAAAAAAATTAAAAGAAATCATGGATATATCAGAATATTCTTGTAAGGGTACCTTTGTTAATCAGATATCTTATTCTATAAATGAAGGGTCACTTGAAATATCGTCCCCAGTTTCTACAATGAGACTAAAAAAAATTCCTATGAGAACATGGATCATTGGAAAACCAATTGGCATTTATGATTTCAGGATGAGATGCTTGAAATCAAAGATGAATCAACAGCTGGAAATCATGAAAACCATATTGATAATCTAGCTGATCATGATGTTGATGATCTTGCTGATCATAATGAAGATGATAAATTCGCGGACCTTGATCTGGATTTTGAATTAGAACCAGAGGAAGAAGAGGAGGAGAAGGAAAAATTTTTGAAAAATGGGAAAAATGTGAAAAAGAGGATTAAGACCGTAAAATTGCCAATTAAAAAGGTATAAAAAAAACAGATAAAACAAAAATAAAAACAAATACTAAACGTCTTGTTTTAGATTGGACGTTCTGAATTTTCTTGTATGCTCTGCAATAAAGTTGTGTCAAACAGAAGTAATGCGAGAAAACACATTAAAACCCATGGAATTGGACTAGAACCAGTTGGAGACCGGACTTGTCCACATTGTAAAAAGGTGAACATTAAAATCTTGCTTTCTTTCGGAAACTAATTTTTTTCTCTATATATTTATTTCAATTAAAATAAGAAAAATTTACTTGATTTAATTTTCCTTGTTTAAGGAGGGTTATTTTTAACATCTTTAGACTCTTAGTATTTTGCCCCTTTAAGGATATTTTCTTTTACCACTTAGGTGATTTTTAAAAACCAAGAGAACCAAAGATATTGCAGCGAAAGATAACATTGTACAATGACTGCTGAGTACTAACTAATCTTTTTATTATCGGTATGACATTACGTAAAAAAATACATAACATAAATGTTTGATTGTCTTTTTATTCTTTGTATGTAGTTACTTAATTAACCGTATTCAGGTGTTTGATTATGCAACATTATGCAGAAAACATATCAAACGAACCTGCAAGATGATGACCAAGGGACAATGTGAAGAGTGTGAACTAACTTTTGAAAATGGTTTCGAACTAAAAGAACACATAAAGGTTAAACAATATTTTTTGTTTTAAAGGAGATGGAATGTCTTTCCAAGAGAACTTTTTAAGTTAATACCAGTAAACCGTAAATATCTTGTTTCTTGCCTGAGTTGAATAATTTGCCATGTTCATGAGGATAAGGAATATTAAATGTACAGATTTCAAAATGCAAAATGCCATTTATGTGCTCCATTCATGCACATTGAACAAAGTTTGAATCTAATCATTATTATGCTGAACCAGGGGAGCTCGTGTGAAAAACAGCCTGAGCTATATCTTTAAGTTTCTCGGTCACAATATACAATTGTCATTTACTTAATTAATAATATTTATATTTGAACTTGTGGCCTTATAGATGATTCTTTTGACCACATTCTTTAATACACTTATGACATATTAGTAAGGCTGAGCATCATATGGATTTTTGAGAACACTCCTTTTAAATTATTTCAAATACAATTGTTTAGGTGGAGCATCATATGGATAAGTACAAGTGTGGATACTGCTCTCATATCTCCTCGAATACACACAATAGGATTGCACATGAGAAGAGAATACATCTCAATATGGAATGCAAACTTTGCAAGAAAACCTTCAAAGATTCAGAAGTAAAAGAACTTCTTTTTAACGTATTGCAGTTGATTTTTGTCATCTAAATTTAGTTTTTGAAAACTATTTGTGCATTTTAACCAGACATTTCAATGATTAAAGAGTTTATGATTTTAACCGTGAAATATTATGAGGCGAAAAAAATTTAAGATATATTAGGAATTTAGTCACTAGTTTTCAAGTATGGATCTTTATTTGTGATTTCATAAGTTTTCGTGCCCCTCTGATTAGGCTACACACTACACAAGCAGGAGCTTAGTAGTTCTCCCGTACCGACACTTCCGTTCGATACTAGTGACATGCATATATATTTCAACATAACATACTACAACTCAATTCATGAATATGCAGTAGAGTAAAACATGAAAGGGGTTAAACAAACTTTTTTGTGGTGCATAGGTTCTTTGGGTGATGTGGCTCTATATAAGCATTTTGTGAAAATTTTAGGTTGATCGGAGCATTGCATCAGGTGGAAATCGTTTTTGGTTTTTCGGCAAAACCTTGAATTTTGATGAAGGTTAATGACCTCCGATTCCAAATCTTTGTGATCCAGTTAGATGACCACAATTGGAGACTGTAAGCAAAATTTCAGACTTTTAACTCAATTTTAAGAATCAAAAGCAGCCTGTACAAAATTTAGTGTCACTGAGTGTCGAATTTTCCCCCCCCCTATCCTTTGTCTGTAGGTTTATTGTTAGTAATAATAATAATAATCTTTAACAAAAATCGAGACTTATAACTGACACTACTTCCAGCAAAGTTCATCAATGTAGGGCAAAAAAATGTTTTCTTTATTTTAAATACTTAGGGTTGACATCACCCATAGAACCTATGCACCTTTTGATTTTCTGACTTTTACCTTTTGCTTAGTCGCCATAATATGCAGTTTAACACAAATCACATAAATCAGATAAATTTCACAATTAGATTCTCTGAACCAAGAATGTTTAGGAAAGACTGCAGCATACCTGTGATACTCCTGAACGATATAAATGTGATCAGTGCGAGAAAAGCTATAAGGTATAACAGAACAAATCCAAAGTTTCATAACAATATCAATGAAATGATAAAGAAAGTGAAAATAACAATAACATAATATCACTCTTAAAACAGCTTTTTTGTTAGAAAATAAAATAAATATAAAAAATGTATTTTAAAATGTTTTTAAGAAATATTTAAAGAAAACTAACCATATTTTTGCCTAATTGTAAGGCTAAGGGTGAACTGAAGAATCATATGATGGTAGTGCATCAGGGTCTACGCTACGCCTGCTCATATTGCGAGGAAATTATTCTTATTTCATTTTTATAAATTCTAATCTGATATTTAAACCATTTTCATTTTTAGTGTTGGGCTTTTATTTAGAACAGTACACAGCGCTTCCATTTTCTTGCTCGTCTCTACTCAAGAATTCACACCGTTTTCTAGAAAAACCAAGGGCACCTTTTATTTATGTAAGCATAATTATCTTGCAAAGATGGCAATGCCTGATTTGCAACGGTACCCTTCAAACCATAATCTAATCTATTTAGTTACAATTCTTATTCGCTTATAATGGGCCAACCAATCAAAACAACCAACTCTGGTTAGGCGGGTCCAAACTACATAGTAAGCTGTGATTTGTTATTTGGATTTTCTCGTGCTTTGTAGCTGAATAAAAAATATGAATGAATCAAAAATGTGGAAAATATCGCCCTGACTCGAAACGTGTTTTATTCTGATAAGCTCCCCAATGCTTTTCATAAGCAAGAAATGCGCGATTCATTTATGCAGAGAACCCGTAAATGAAAATACAAAGTTGTAAGAAACAAAAACATGGATATCTAATTTATACCGTTGTGGATCTGGAATTGCAATCTTTGCATGGAGGGTCACTTGAAATTACGCTCTCCGGTCCTTTAACAACCATTTCCATCAAGTTTACTAGATAAATAATAAAAGGGTAGTGTTGTCAATCATTTAAAGCTATCTCTTAGTAAATTTTCTCCTGAAACAATGTTAACAGTTCCGTAAATTAGGATTAAACAAATAGAAACTTATTTTATGAATAATCATAATTTGAAACCAGGATGTTATGTCTTCAGTCCAAGCCTTGAAACGACATGAGAAAAGCTTCCACCAGAATACTCCTAGGGAACATATCTGTGATGTTTGTAGTCAAGCCTTTACGCATAAAGATACGTTAAAAAAACACATACTGACTCATGATAATATTATGCGTTCAGATCCGTGTCCTTATTGTGGAAAAGTGTTACGAAATAAAGATGTTCTGAGACAACACATAAAGACATTACATGAGAAGAACTTTAGTGTAGTTTGTGAAGATTGTGGACAGAAGTTTGCAAACAAGCATCGTCTTGAAATACACAATGAAATGGTTCATTTAAAAGGTAAGACATTTGGTATTATTTTTGGGAATAAAATTATGAATAAAACAAATCTTTTAAATCTTTAAATCTTATCTTTCAAACAAAATTGTGAATCTAGCTATTTTTTTTTTATAAAAAATGTCAAGGTAACTTTGGCTTAGTTCCGTGGTATTTTTATTAACTGATCACAATTTGACCATCTAAATGAAAGGTTTTAATACTCTTCTTAATGTTCTTCTTCAGATATTTTTCATATTCTTTAATCTTTCCCTCTCAATTATGATTTTTTGGAAAGTTCAAATGTTCAAAATAATGTAGGAAAAGAATACGTATGTCAGACTTGTGGTAAAGAATTCCTTGGAAAACGAAGACTCCACAATCACATGATCTCAAAACATCCCAAGGGACAAAAATTTGTTTCCTGTGAATATTGTGGCCAGGTTAGTTTATCTATTAGGGATTGCATGATTAAAAAATGAATATAGAAAAATTTTTTCACAACTTTGCTGCAGTGAGTTATGCTTACAGCTATACATATTTCTTCTTTTTTAAAATTATTTTAGTGACCACTGTATGATTGTTTTTTTAATCGTTTAGGAGATAGGAGAGAAGCAGTTAAGATCTCATATAGTTGAAGCGCATAAATCTCATTCCTACAAGTTTCAATGTGAGCACTGCCTCAAGCGATTTCCAGTTAAAGGGCATATAAAGAGACATATCAGGTCACAAATCCAGTTAAAGGGCATATAAAGAGACATATCAGGTCACAAATCCAGTTAAAGGGCATATAAAGAGACATATCAAGTCACAAATCCAGTTAAAGGGAATATAAAGAGACATATCAGGTCACAAATCATTTTTAACTATTCAACGTTTCTTTGTCGAAACATGGATGTATATTTTCTTTACATACCTCCCCTCTAAGTTAAGATGGTTTTTTATTGCTGTTTTGAGAACATTAATTCTTTTTCCAATGGTTTCTCTAACAGAACTTTCATTATTGAAGAATTCCAAAGCGTTCTAGCCGCCGCATTTTTCGCCTTATAATTTTAAGTCCCAGTTTACGACCCAGAACATACCTATGAAGCAATCTAATCTGATTTATCCCAAATTACCATTTGAATAAATGTAATGGGAAAATTTAAGATTTTTACAACTTCTTTTTGTGATTAAATAACTTTAAAAGTTAGAAAGTTTCAAATATCAAATATTTAGAGTTCACACTGGAGCTCGACCCTATCTTTGCCGGGGCTGCGGGCAGTACTTCGTGGACTTAGAGGCTGTAAAAGATCATATTAGGAAAGCACACTTTTTATAATTTTGTTTGTTCATCTTGATCTCATTTTAAAATTTAAAACTTTCTCAAATGATCTGTTAAAAATCATAATCAATCAATCATTAATTAATCTTATCTTATCTTTAAGAAATCTAAAATAAATTCTGAAAAAAACGTGTTTTATTGCCTGATTAGGAAAGTGCACAACAGTGATGTATCCTTAGCTCACTACGACATATCCAGAGATATTAACAATCCATACGCATAGAATCCAATTTTGGATATCTATGTATAAATTTGGCTTGTCTGTCTGTCTGTCTGTTTGTATCCAATAAACGTCAAAACGGCTGAACCGATCGGGACCAAATTTTTTGTGGGACATTTAAGGACACCAGGGAAGGTTTATGAATGATCAAAATTTCAAATATTTGTCTCCATCAAAATTCGATCTTCATGAAATTTTTGAAAATTTTGAAAATCCACGAATTTTTTTGTGAAAATCCGCGAACTATTTTTGTTTTGTTTTACGATGTACACAAAGAGAACATGTTCACAATTAATTTAGAAGATGGGCGCGAAGCGTCCTCTAAGGCTAGTTTAATATATAAGGTTAACACCATCAGGTTGCAAAGATATTAAGGGATTAGAAAACTCAATTCCTTTGTTTAAGATAAAAGAGTGAATAATATATATGACAGTTTATCTGGACTGATATGGCAAAAACTAGAAAGCCGCGAGTTTTTCCCCCTTTTTTCATCATACTTATCTTATGCCTTATCACAATATATCCAAACTCATTTTCTTTTTTAAGATTAGTTAGTTACTTTATTTTAAATTTTATGTGAACTAAATTGTTAACTGTTAAAAATTTCAAGGTTTTCCGATAACAAAATAAGTTTCTTGGATTATTTCGCAGATTTTTCTGTTTTCCTAGGTGGATTTCCTAGGTGGATTTCCTAGGTGGATTTCCAAAATAAATATCAAACGTTTTTGGAGCATAACCTTAAGTTCTTACCATCCATAAACCTTTCCTGGGGTCCCAAAATTTACCCGAAAAAAAACATTTTTTGCCAAATCGGTCCACAGTTCAAAACAGTTTCTTCGGGTCAAAAATATCACTGAAAACTTTTTTTAAAATGGTATTTTCAGAAATGACCTTGTAGAATGGTTGCAGGAGAGAGTGTAGACGTGGTATTGTGTGTAGAAAACACTGCCCAGGCCGGGGCATCTAGAAATATTATCAAGTAAGTTTTATTCATACAGGGGAGCCAATAAACTATGGTATAGAAGACGACTTTTAGACTCGAGTTATGATTGAAAGTAGTCAAATAAACAGGAAACACAGCAATTGTGCAATGTACATACTACACAGAAATGAAATGAAAGGAAGGAAGAAAGAAAGAACGGGTGGCAAAACGTCCTGAGGCCAAATTAAAAGAATTTGACCTGCGGCTTAAATTTAAGCCGCGGTTCAAATATGGTTGGTTTCGCTTAAAACTGTATTATATTTGAAACCGGTTTTTGGGGGATTTGAGACTCGACTTTAATTTATTAAATTCGGACTCTGGTTTTTGTTTTTTATGTTCTACATAGAAACTCAATAAAATTGGATTGGGTGACGTTAACGGCATGTGGGGTTATACAGATTTTTTAACAGAAAGAAAAAACAAAACAAAAAGTATTATATTTGGTTGTCAAGTTTCATAAAATTTGGGCTGAAATTGAGAACGAGGCCAGGGAGGAGGAGAGTATAGGAAGGGGAGGCGAGAGAGGGGGGTGGAGGGGGAATTTAATAGAGTGCAGTTTATTAATTGACCGTGGTAGTACGTACCAAGTTGTCACACTGACCTCAAAAGGGGGGGCTGGGAAGGCACTCATTGGGGGGGGGGGGGCGTGGTCACCGCTCGCAGTATACTACTCTGTCGTGGGACATGGTAGCTTGGTATGGTTGAATACGGTGACCGTCATCCACCTGTATAAAAACCATGTTAATTCAGAACTCAACCAGTCTAACTTTATAGCACTTGCAGAGCTGTACATCAATTAGAAGAACAACATGAAACCCTGTGTACCATGCTTTTATGTTAGCACTGTTGGTCTGCCAGCAGTCTTAATAATCCTGGTCCTGTGTATAGTAGCGTACATGCTGTACCTCCAATATAGGGCCCCCCGGACCAAGCGTACTCCATCATGGGAGAAGATTCTACCAATACCATCCTTGAGCGGTTCAATATCATACCCCGAGAGCTGTTTATCCTTTAACCTTGAGAGCTGGGAGACCAGCACAAGGAAGAGCGAAGATTGTTACAGAAACGAAGACGACGTTAGGATTCCTGTTGGTGATAGATTCCATTTTCTTCGTCATCATTATTACAATGAGAACATCGTGCTAGGAGCCAACTTCTAATAATCGGAAATCTAAAAATACAAATCAGAGGTGTTTGAATCCCTGGAACAAACAGTTTAACCTCAAATTAAAAGATTTCACAGTGGATATCGAAATCAAGCATTGTTGAGTTATAAAGTCTCACTGCCCGATCTAAAAAATTGTGTTATCATAGTCTTTTGTTTTTGTTTATATTTGTAAATAAATTATATTTTTAGCCATATTTTGTGTTGTCATTGAGGAGTAAATGTTTAGGATTCCATTATTAGTTACACGGTCTATGGAGAGTAATTTCTTCTAATGAGGATAGATTGTGGTAAAAAAACTTACTTTCAGAAGTAAAAACGTTTCATTTAATTGGGTTTAACAAATTTCATCTAATTTCCTTATTCCTGTTTTTTTAATCTTTATCAGCTGAGACACAAAAATATGATCTCCGCAAAGAACAGATTTGTATTGGTAATTATTGTAGGATTAGCGCTATCCCATTCAAAAATTTTGATCTTTATCTATTTTAGGAGTTTAACAAATTTCATCTAAAATTCACAATCTTTAAACCTTTTCATTTCCGTATTTTTAAGAAAACATTTAATTTTCAGAAGATTTGATTTGTTCAGTTTATTGTTTATTAAGTTTATATAAGTATACTTGGGGTAATGGCTAGCGCCTATATTAACTTAGCAACATTGATGCTATCTAATGTTTCTATGTCCAGGGTAAGCAAAAAAACTGGAATTCTCGATGTTGTGGGCATAATTTTCAAAAATTTTATTTTGTTTTAATTTAAGGCATAAAAACAATGTAATACAAAAATTCGAAAATATTTTTGGAACATTACATTTTTTGTTATTTCTCATTCAAGTTTTGATAAGTTTAAAAAAAATTGGTTTCGCGGATTTTTTTTCAATGTTTCTAAAATATTTTTCAAAGTATGAATTTGAATTAAACCTAAAACCATTCAATAAATAAGTATTATTTTCTATAGTAAAGTACGATAGAAAGTTTTTGAGTATTTACGTTTACTTAAACTCTTTATTATTATATTCAATTAAATTAAATGTTGTCTTTTTATAAAATATTATTGGAAATATTTTTTCTTCCATGAAAATATTTGCGCGAATAAATGAAAAATATTAGTTTATTCCGCTTTAAGGATTGAACCGGCTTTTAAGGCGCTCTCTGTAAACATTTTTTTATTGCTTTTAACTGTGGCTCTTTAAGTCGGAAATTTTGAATCATTTTCAAATTTTGGCGGATATTTCTTTTCTAATTGGCGCATTTTAACTAAAAAAAATCCAATTTTCCCCCCAGGGTCATGTGAGGTCCCACATAAAATTTGGGCACAACCGGTTCAGCCGTTTTGACAGGACATACAGAAAGTATATATATATATTATATACAGATGAAAAATACAGATCAATATAGATGATACGTAATATTTAGAAATGATTATATTCTCCCGATGCTTGAACATTTTAATGATGGACCTCCTACAGATCTTGATTTCTCATGTGTAGAGAAGAGTTCAACCTATACACTCATACCATTCAAGGTAAACATGGACAGTTGTAAAATTGTACAGTATAGAGAAGAATTTAACCTATTCCCTCATACCATTCAAGGTAAACATGTACGTACAGTTGTACGGTGTAGGGAAGAGCTCAACCTATAAAATCATACCATTAAAGGTTAACATGTACAGTTGTACAGTTTAGAGAATAGTACTAAACACTCATACCATTCAAGGTAAACATGTACAGAATAATTTACATTCGCACACCATTCTAGGTAAATATTGACAGTTTACAGTTTAAGTGTAAGCTGTACTAACTCATACCATGTAAACTAAACATACTCTTTGTACAATTGTACATGTATAACTATCCAGGTTGTATAGTTTTCAGTATAAAGAACATACACAGTAACCACTTATACCAGGCAATGTCAACATGCACAGTTGTACATCTGTAAGTGTACAGTTGTACAGTATAACTTTGCAAACTTATACCATTTAATATAATGTTAAACATTGTACAATTTAAAAACTTTTTGTGGATAAAAAAATGTCTATTTTTTTAAGGCGTCAGACTGCCTTCCTGAACCTGCAGCAAGAATCCATGGTCCGTTCACTTCTACAAAACGTTTAATAAACACCTATGACAGGTATGGTGTTAGGTGTTTGATAATAATGATAATCAGTCAACAAAGCCCCTGAAAGTTACCGGGGGTTGGTACTTATCTATGAGAACCCGCTAATTTACAATACAACGCCTGAACTCAATATTTTATTGATTTAAAGCTTAATCATTGAAAAAACAGCAAATTTGTGTTTGAGAGCGATCTCTTATTATTTATTAGCTGATAATTGATTTTTGTTGTGGCTTCTAATAGGTAAGTAAAGGCCAAAGATTTAGTACGATTTTCTAAAGCAAGATGTTTTAAGAAAATTACGCAACACCAATTAAGACAACTGTTCGGCTGTTTTTCGATCGTATTTTTGTTTATTGTGCAGGCTTTGATATATTTATCACAGCATTTTCTATTTTTCTAATTATCATTATCATCATAATCAAAATACTCTTTTTAATTCATGTTCATTGTTAAAATCTCAAACTTTTTAATTACATTTTGACAGCATGTATTTTTGTTTTACAAACGTGTATAAAACCTATTTTGTGGTGTGTGAGGTTATTTTAATAAAAATAAAAGAATAACAATAAATTTCCAAAAAGTTTTTCATTTAGCTCATCCCGAAAAATGCATTAATTGAATTTAGAATAGTATTTCCACATCCAACCACCCTTGCCAACAAAACAATGGCCCAACGTCCAAACTCATTGCCAAAAAAAAGATTTTTAATTTATTATTTTGTTTTAAGACTTGAGTTTAGTGGAGGATATGGGGAAACACATACATCAGGACAGGAAGCTATTGCATTAGCTCTTAAGGTAATTAGTCATATATCAAATAAACCCTCATTAAAAGAATTTTATGCCCAAATGACAACTGTACACTTTTAACCTTAATCCAACTAATGATGAAAGTATTCATTCACAATTAAGATGTTGGAAATTCATAAAGTTCAACTATGCACTGAAATGGTTTACTTGCCTCAGAATTAAATTTTATAATCTATAAAATTATATTTGATATTTTTAACTATGAGTTCTGCTAGATCATTTTAGTAGCAGTTTCAATATAATGTTTTTAGTGCCTTGTTTTTTATTAAAGTTTTACCAAGCACTGCAAATTAACTTTATCCAAACCTTGTTCTAGGTTTTTGATAATCTTAAGTCCCGGCGTACAGATGGTTTAAAGAACAGTTGCCATATTGTTTATGTTTCAAACCATCCTATGTACGATATGCCCGTACTGCAGTGTACACAGTTCAAAGGGAAGAGCCTAGATGATATGTGTCAGGTAATTTTTGATATTTATGGAAAATAATATATATATTTTGTTTGTAACCCCCCCCTCAGTTGTAGAAAAGGAGGGGGGGGGGGATCTGCCACTCCCTTAATATGTTTATTAGTTTTTTCCTTATTCCTGTTTTTTTTAATCTTTATCAGCTGAGACACAAAAATATTATCTCCACAAAGAACAGATTTATATTGGTAATTATTGTAGGATTAGCGCTATCCCATTCAAAAATTTTGATCTTTATTTATTTTAGGAGATGAAGAACCGGGGGGTCACCTTCTCCGTGTTTGCTCCGAGGAAGATCCCATTCCTCTTCAAGATGTTTGAGAAGACAGGGGGAGATCTGGTTCAAGCTAAGGAGAAGAACTATTCCAAGGTTGGTAGCTTCATTCACTCTTTTGTGCTCCATATTATTATTATTATTACTATTATTATTATTATTATTGTTATTCAAGTATTTTCAGGAGCCATGCCTCTATCACAATGGCCATTCTCCTTCCTCTTTTCAGTAAGACCATTTTTGGAGCGTCATCACCTCCCCAGTAAGCTCTGATGACAGACTGAGGTGTTCTTTGTCCATTGGCAACAGCCTTTGCCTTGTAGGCAGACATCTTTAGCCTTCTTCATTGCCATGCAACAGTTGGACAGCAAAAAAGTACATGAGACTCTCTCAGAGCCACTCTCTTACCATGGACAACTTCACAGTGTGGGCACAACTCCTATGCCTTGGCATAGCGGTTCTTATACCTGTTTCCTAACTGAAACTGAGTATTCCCGCCTCTGACGCAGCATAACTCCCCACTAGCAGCAGAGTCGTTAACATGATCCTGAAGGGCAAACCACTTATCTGGTTGTGGTTCACTCTCATTGTGGTGTAATCCGCCTTGACCTGGAGCACATAGTCTACTGATACATTAGTCAGTGCTTTGTTGAGGGATTGGCGTGTCGGAAAGTCAATTAGTATTCCTACTTCCTTCCGGGTTGACATCCAGGCCGTGGTGTATGGGTTTGTGGGTCGTTCCAGCTGGAACTTAATCACTGCCTGTATCATTGGATTGTTTCTCTTGCATATTGCAGTCCAGATGTAGTTTGCTCATCGGATCATGGTGCGGTCCTTCATTGGCATCAGCCCAGCATCCATCCATGCTAAAGTGCGTGATGTTGCACTAGGAACTTGTAAAATGAATCGGCCTACCATGTTTTGTATATGCTCCAGTTCCCTCACAGTGGTCTTGGATAGCACCATGGCCTCCGTGCAGTACAGGATTCCTGGAATGGTGCAGTGTATCCACAATTTTCTTGCAATTAGGGCCCTGTCTAGTCCACTTCTTGTTAAGTTCATAATTGACATGGCGTAGCTATTTGCCCGTTAAAGAATAGTTGCTTCGTAGTTGCCTACCATGTTGCGTCCCTTGATCTGGATATCCACACCTAGGTACTTTGCTACCAGAACCTCCTCCATGGTTGCATCCTCTAACATCCAGTCTGTATGATCTTGAGAACTGGTTAAGATAAAGGTTTTTGTTACTGCCAGTTTCATGTGCATACCACTGCAGTATCTTGCCACTATTTCAAGAAGACGGTCCATGCCAGTCTTGGGTGTACATGAGATGATAACCAAGTCATCAGCAAAGAACAGGGCAGTTATTACCTCATTTCCTTAGGTTACCCCTAGTCTTGATGCATGCAGTGTGTTTCCAAGTCCAGCCACATATAAGGCAAACAGCATTGGCGATAGAGCGCACCCTTGTTTTACGCCTTTTGTGAACCACAAAGGTGATGAGAATTTACCAGGTAGTGTTAGGCGAATGCAGTCGTTATAGTACATGGACCTGATCAGGCCCACCACCTTTCCACCAAACCCTATCCTACTTGGTTTTGTGTACAGCAGCTCTCGACATACCGAGTTGTATGCTTTTGCAAGATCACAAAAAGCAATTGATATTGTTCTGTGTTTTTTCCTTGCTTCTCTGATGATTCCAAGGATTATGAATACACAGTCAGTTGTGCTCTGCTCAGACCTAAATCCGTATTGGACAGACCCCTAGAACCCTTGCTCCTCGCATATTGGGTCTATTAGTTTTTTAATGAGCTTAGCTATTACACTCAGAAATATACTCGAAACAGTTAAGGGTCTCTTGTTCTGAATCTCCAATGACGGTTTTTTCATATTGATTAGTGTCGGTTTATTTGATCCGTCAGCACTTGAACAAAATCAACGCTTGCCTGCTTTAGCATTTTCGCAAGTACTCCATCAACTCCTGGAGCCCTGTCTGACTTGTGAGAATCTATAATTTCTTTGACTTCTATAGCAGTTGTCCCATCGTTCCTTGGGTATCCATTCTTCAAAGTCTGTTTCATTCTGTACACGAAGCTCCTTGATTATTTGCTCTCCACGGGACTCGAATATCTTGGATACCATTCCACAAAACCCTTGGCCAGGTTTGTTAGGGCAATGTCTTATAGTTTGTTGATGTCAGTCTGAAGATTGCCATCTGCATCTTTCAGTGCATTGAGTTTTCCTTTTTTCTTTTCAGTCTTCTCCTATAGCGACCAGAATTGTCGTTTATTCATGTCATATTGAGTTCTCTGGAAGGTTCTCCTATTGAGCTCAAATTCACTGGACTTCTCACGTACTAACTGTACCATTGCTTGATATCTGCAGCGTTTAAAGGATTCTTGTTCCTTGGTTGTCCATTCTTCGGCCATTAACACACGACATACAGGATCTACTGACAGCTGTTTTTGCTCCTTGTCTGCTAGTTGTCTTCTCCGTATCAATTGCTTAATACTTTTTGGGACACATTTTGGTCTGGGTTTAGGTCTTTTTGTGTACGCCATTGTGTTTGCGTCCACTAGAGTCTTCTGTAGGTGTGCAAAGCACTCCCCTGCTGTGCTTGTCAACCAATCAATTTCCGCAATTTTCTGGTCCATTATCTCAGTGGCAATTCTTTTGTCCCGTGATTTGCTAAAGAAACACACCTTTTGGCGCAGTTTCAGGAGCTGCAATACCTTCTCCTGTTATCCTTACATCTAGACGTACTGATATGTGGTTGCTTCCTGCAAGGAGCTCAACTCCTTCATCCATCTTCATAGTATTTATAAGCGGATACACAGATTCAGTGACAAGTACATAATCTAATCTTACTAGAATTTGGTGTTATACGGGTGAATGTTCCATCACACAAATTCTTGTCTATGTTCAGAATTTTCAGGTCATTCTTGTCGTCAAAATTCAGTAGTTGGCGTCCATTAAAATTTATCCCAGGTTTATGCCCTCAATTCCTTTCGTTGAAGTCCCCCATCAGGATGCAACCATTTCCCTCACTCTCTAGCGCTCGTATCTCATTTGCAAGATATCTGTAAAGTGAAATATTCCAATCTTGGTATGCTGTATTTCCTATTACTCCCGTGGCCATGTATACTGTACATACTGCAAGACGCATCCCTGATCCAACATTCTCGACCCAGGTCAGCATCTTATCTGGCACCCATGGCATGTGATTGATTCTATTGGACACAAGTATCATTTTGCCACCACCATTCTTCTCACCAAATCCCTGCTCCTTATAGTATTGAGGTTTAAAGACTGACAAGTCATTGTTTGCTCCTTGTCTGAAGTGTGTTTCGTCTACAAACATTATGTCTATACGCTCTTCCTCCATAGCATCCTTGATCTGCTGTTGCTTTATCACACAACCTAGTCCGTTACAGTTCCAATAACACACTTTTAGTGTTTGGTCTGTCCATGGCGGTTTTTCCTGTCTTCCTGTTCTTCACTTTTTTGCCCTCCTTGCATCACCTCATATTGCCCCTTGGGTGTTAGCTCACCTTTAAATTGTATTTCTGAAAAAATTCGTAATTTTAGTATTTTAAGTTACCATTTTTTCCACCCGTAAATTACCATTATACTGCATAAGTTATCCGGGTAATTATCTAGCATCTTTAAATTACCATTTTATTACCATAAATGCACTACTATAGTTAATTGGGCCGTAATATAGCCATATAGCCATCTAGGCAATATTCTAGCTACATAGGCAATATTCTAGCCACCTTGGCAATATTCTAGCCACATAGGCAATATTCTAGTCACATAAGCATTACTATTGCCACACACGCAATAATCTAGTCACATTAGCATTTATCTAGCCATACAGTAAATATTCTAGCCACATAGGCAATATTCTAGTCACATAAGCATTACTATTGCCACACACACCATACTCTAGTCACATAAGCGATTCTCTAGCCTATCAGGCACATAAGCATTTATTTAGCCATACAGGCACTAAATCTAGCCAAATAGTCACATAGGCACATGTTATTCAAACATTTCTCTATTTTTACAGTTTTCCATAAGCATTTGGTATATGGTTAAAACATTTATTTCTCTATATAAACTGCATAGTACATATTATTTATTACATATTGCATACTACCATATTGCCTGTTTCTATTCATTTATGCATAAAAATGGTGGAAAGCATCCCATCCATATTCCTTAACAATTTTGTATTGAAAGGCTTGATTCTGTGATGCATGTAGTCCCTCATAATGTCCCATCATGCCGCACACAGTACATTTGTGTGTTTTGTATAATATACAATCCTCCTTGTCATGCACTTCTCTGCTGCATGCTAAACAGTGGGGCATTACTCGTGATGGACCTGCAGCAGGACTGAACCTCTCCGTTTGGCTTGAGCTTTGTGTCCGTGGTGGACTATACCAGTCCAAAGCACAACTACTTTGGGACATTAGTGCTGGCCTTGGCTCATGAGTTACACTCAATTTACTTAGCATGGCCTCGATGTTTTTCAGCCTCTTATCTTGTTCATCCAGCTTTCTTTCCTGCCTTGAGGCTATCCATTATTTTCACATGATTTATGGACTTCTCCACACTTTCCGCCGTCAGCTCTAGCAGAGCATTGTCTACGCTGTCTAGGGAGTCAAATGTATCATTTAACTGAGTGGACCCCAGGCTCTCGCCACCTATACCATTGTTTTTGGCATTTCCTCCACTGGGACTTTTTGAATTTGTCTAGCTAGCTGCCGCTTGCGCAGAGATCTGTGTTTATAGAAAAAATGGATTAAGCTTTTATTTATAAAAACACATTTATGTATTTTTCTGTTATCACTGACATTTATTGATAAAACACATTTATATATTTTTCTGTTATCACTGACATTTATTGATAAAACACATTTTTACATTTTTCTGATATTTAAACTGATTCATAAAACACATTTTTAGATTTATATCAAGTTTTCATTTTATATGTTACATACTCGGCACAATTTGATAAAACTTTTCATATACTACATTGCAATATCCGTTTCGATGCAGTCTTAGTAGTTTCGTCCACCGCATCCTCTCTTACCGTATCCTAGGACATGTCCTTGTCCCCTATGACCAGAGTAACTTCCTGAAGTATTTTGCTGATCACCTACAGCCATAAAGTGTCCGAATACCTCCATCCCATGGAAGTTAATGATTTTGATCCTATCCGCTTGGTTCATGACATCGTGGAGTCTAGCAGCATGCCCTGGTTTTCCGAATTTATTACAATCCTTCTCCCAGCTGCACGAGTCCTGTTTATGAATGAACAGCCCACCACATTTCATACATCTTTCCTTCGCGGTACAGTCAATAAACTTGTGATTATCTGTGGCGCAGTAGGAGCCTATGGAATGTGGGTTCCTGGAACTCTTCCTTTGGCTCAGACTGACATACTCTATCTGCAAACTTTTGCAGCAGTTTTAAAGTTCCATCTACGGCAATGCATTTGCTGAAGTGTTTATCCAATCTGTTGTGTACCTTTGCCACACTTTCCATTATCTCCGTGCATTTATTCAGGATTGTCTCCATCTTCTCCTCTGTGGATATATTATCCTTGATAATTATATCTGCCATCCCACTGCTTGTATGGACCAGCTCATCTAGGTGTGCATCATTTTCCTGATCTTTGCCTTCCTCCTTAAGCTTTACTGCTTGCCATACCTTAGATGGTCTAGTCAGTAGAACCTTGATGACATCACCTTTAAGCTTAGATCCGAAGGCCTTGTTCTTGAACAAGTTTTTCTCGTTGATTCTTTGTATTACCTCTGGAATGGATACTGGCTTAGTCTCCGGATTGAATTTGACATCCTTACAGACCAGTTCATGCATTCTCTTTAATAAGATTTCTCTGTCTCCGGACGCCTCTGGGACATCCTTGATGGTCATTGCCAGTTTTGATGCCTATTTTTAATTTGGGTATATGTTAAAGGAACCAATTAGTAATAGTTGATCACCAAATTAACCCAACTAGACGACAGAAACATAATTAATACCTAATTAAATTCAAACTAGTCGGAAATAATTAACCAAAGTTAATAACCAAATTAACCTCAAATCATTCCAAGTTTATGAACAGCTCTAATTCAAAGTGCCAAATGGAGATAATTTTAAACAATTTGTCAATCTATGTAAACAATTCGTTAAATTGAAGTTCTGATCTGATTTAAAATTATAATTTGAACTAAAACTGAACTTAGACAAACTAAGCAGTATTAGACGGAGATAATTTAACAATTTGATAATATAAAGTTAAATATTTTAGTTAAAAACTGAACTGTAGGCGAAATAAGCAGTATTAAACAGAGATAATAAAAACAATTTGCTAATTTAAAGTTAAAATTGAACTAAAACTGAACTGTAGCCAAAATAAACAGCATTAGACGGAGATAATAAAACAATTTGTAGACACACTAAGCAGTATTAAACGGGGATAATTAAACAATTTGCCATTTTTAAATTTTAATAAGTTGCACTATAGACAAAATAAGCAATATTTAAAGTTTAATAAGTTGAGCCATAACTGAACTGTAGACAAAAAACTGAGATAGATTAAACATTTTGCTAATCTAACTTCACTGTTGAAAAAATAAGCAGTATTTTAACCGAAGAAGAATTAAACAATTTGTCAGTTTAAAGTTACATAATTTGAATCAAACCGAACTTGAGTCAAAAGGTATATTCCTGTCACTATTGAAATTTTCTTGTGCAACAATTTTTGACATTAGTTATTTTAAATTTTCCAAAAATAATTAAACAATTGAGGTAAGCCAGCATTAAATAGCAAATTTACGCTAATTAAGTAATAAACAAAAAAGTTATCTGTCAGTGTCCATTCTAGCATAGTCCTCCATCCAGTGTTCTCATCAGTCATCTTAAGACTCCATCTCGAACAAGTGTAGTAACCATGGCGGATTCGAACTTTTTTTTCTGGGACTGCTTTCTGTCAACTACAAGCTTAGAGGACTTTTTATACTGGCTTTCTGAACCCCGGCGAGTTCACAAATTCTCTTAATGAGAGGAGAGTCCATATACTTCTTCTTGTCCGCATCACCGGCCTGCTGGTAACTAAGGATCTGGCTGACGAGAAACTCTGCATGCTTAATAACAGACTCAGATGTGAACTTTGATATCTCGGGGCGGGGACATCCCAGACAGATAATCAAGAAATCTTTCATAAATTCCATCTTCGTTCTCATCATCATTTTCCTCATCTCCTTCATCTTCCTCCTCCAGGAACTCAATCATATATTTTACAAGGAAAGATATATATCATACTAAAACACCAAAAAGGGGTTTACAAATTTGTCAATTTAAAGTTACATAATTTGAATCAAACCGAACTTGAGTCAAAAGGTATATTCCTTTAACATATACCCCTACCTTTATCATTTCCTTAAGCAGGGTAACTGCAATATTCTGCAATGTTAACCTGATTTCCATTTATCAATATTATCCATGTCATCTTTGAATTTATTTTAGGTGGATTTTACTAGTGCATCTATTTATAAAAATTTTCTAGGTTGACTTAACCAGGTTTTCTGTCCATTTTCTGTGTTACATCCTTGTTGTATCATATTGTATTGATACATTTGTTCTCATTTATGTATGCTCATACTGTATCTGGTAGTGCTTGTATGGGCTATGTATGCTCATACTGCATCTGGCAGTGCTTGTACGGGCTATATGTAACTTATATTTCAGTTCTCTGTGTTCCATTGCTTTATTGTATTATGCTCTTGTTCATTTTTTTTACCGTACGTATCATCATTTTATGCTCCCGTTCATTGTTGCTTTATGGCTATTGTTCAAACCTGTATCAGCACTGCCAGTACTATATGATCCATTCATTGTGTCTTAGTATGGAATTTTTTGGATGGCTAGTGGTCACCCTGGAACATCTTTTACTGTACACTTTTCCAATTATTTTCCTAGACTTTATTTTTCTCATTTATCACTGTTTTAATATATTATGGGTTCATACAGTGTATTGAATGTTCCAGTCCTGACCACTAAGTGTTCCATTTCCGCACTATTATTATTCATTTTGTTAATGACATTCCATATCCTTTAACCCTCTTTAGGGATTTCCCGTGTTGTCCTCACTAATAAGGCATTATATGGGTTTAAATTTTTATTTATAAGGAATTGAAAGAAGAAATCATGTCTGCAGCTTCTCCTATTGTTCCTAGCTTTGCTTGTTTCTATCCTGCTTCTGTCCTTTATATAAAAAATATATGTGCAAGTTGATTGTAAAACTTTTTTGTTCCATGTAGTATTTTTCCAATACATGAGCAGAACTTGTCACTATTGAAATTTTCTTGTGCAACAATTTTTGACATTAATTATTTTTAATTTTCCAAAAATATTTAAACAATTCAGGTAAGCCAGCATTAAGTAGCAAATTTACGCTAATAAAGTAATTAACTGAAAAAGTTATCTGTCAGTGTCCATCCTAGCATAGTCCTCCAGTGTTCTCATCAGTCATCTTAAGGCTACATCTCGAACAAGTGGAGTAACCATGGCGGATTCAAACTTTGGTTTCTGGGACTGCTTTCTGTCAACTACAAGCTTAGAGGACTTTTTTATACTGGCTTTCTGAACCCCAGCAAGTTCACAAATTCTCTTAATGAGAGGAGAGTCCATATACTTCTTTTCATCTACATCACTGGCCTGCTGGTAACAAAGGATCTGGCTGACAAGAAACTCTGCGTGCTTAATAACAGACTCGGATGTGAACTCTGGTATCTCGGTGCGGGTTGGGGACATCCCAGACAGATAATCAAGAAATCTTTCATAAATTCCATCTTCATCATCATCATTTTCCTCATCTCCTTCATCTTAATTTTGACATTAATTATTTTTAATTTTCCAAAAATATTTAAACAATTGAGGTAAGCCAGCATTAAATAGCAAATTTACGCTAATTAAGTAATTAAACGAAAAAATTATCTGTCAGTGTCCATCCTAGCATAGTCCTCCATCTGGTGTTCTCATCAGTCATCTTAAGACTCCATCTCAAACAAATGGAGTAATCATGGCGGATTCGAACTTTGGTTTCTGGGACTGCTTTCTGTCAACTACAAGCTTAGAGGACTTTTTTATACTGGCTTTCTGAACCCTGGCAAGTTCACAAATTCTCTTAATGAGAGGAGAGTCCATATACTTCTTTTTGTCCGCATCACTGGCCTGCTGGTAACTAAGGATCTGGCTGATGAGAAACTCTGCATGCTTAATAACAGACTTGGATGTGAACTCTGGTATCTCGGGCGGGGTGGGGACATCCCAGACAGATAATCAAGAAATCTTTCAAAAATTCCATCTTCGTTCACATCATCATTTTCCTAATCTCCTTCATCTTCCACCTCCAGGAACTATTTTCTCATTTATCACTGTTTTCATATATTATGTGGTTCATACAGTGTATTGGTTATTCCAGTCCTTACCACTAAGTGTTCCATTTCCGCACTATTATTATTCTTTTTGTTAATGACATTCCATATTCTTTAACCCTCTTTAGGGATTTCCTGTGTTGTGCTCACTAATAAGGCATTATATGGGTTTACATTTTTATTTATAGAGTCGAAAGAAGAAATCATGTCTGCAGCTTCTATTGTTCCTCGCTTTGCTTGTTTCTATCCCGCTTCTGCCCTTCATATAAAAAATATATTTGCAAGTTGATCGTAAAAATTTTTCGTTCCATGTAGTATTTTTCTAATACATGAGCAGAACATTTCACTATTGAAATTTTCTTGTGCAACAATTTTTGACATTAATTATTTAAATTTTCCAAAAATATTTAAACAATTCAGGTAAGCCAGCATTAAAATAACAGACTTGGATGTGAACTCTGGTATCTCGGGGCAGGGTGGGTACATCCCAGACAGATAATCAAGAAATCTTTCATAAATTCCATCTTCGTTCTCATCATCATTTTCCTCATCTCCTTCATCTTCTTCCTCCAGGAACTCAATCATATATTTTACAAGGAAAGATATATATCATACTAAAACACCAAAAAGGGGTTTACAAATCTGGATGGGAATTGTAAAAAGTTATGGGAAATGATGTTTGGGAAAGTGAGGGTGAGATGATTGGGATTGGAAATGTGCGATGTAGAAGAGATACGGAAAGCTGAGGATTGAGGATGGAAATGGGTGATGAGAAAGTGTTTGAATCTCACCTCTGATGGTAGGTTGAGATCAAATCTTGATAATTTTTGCTTTAAGACTGGATCATTTTATGATCATGAAAATGCATGACACTAGTCTGAAATTATTGTATTACAGAGCAAGGTCAAAAAACCTAAAATATAAAAGTATTAGATCATTGACATTACAATATTTTTTTAACTTTCCTTTAAATATCTCCTGTATAAAATTCCTGAATAAAATGTTTATAGTAGATTAAAATCAGAATTTGTTCTGGCATAGATTTAGGAGTTTTTTTACAATAATAAGAATTACAAGAAGTTTAAAACATTTCTTACATTTTCCAGGTCGTCTTGATTTTTCCATCAGTTTAACTCCTCCTGGTAGCTACTCCTGTAGCTGTGGTTGTAGAACTACTCCTGTAGCTGTGTTGTAAGAAATACTAACTCCAGATAGCTACTCCTATAGCTGTTGTAGAGGATACTCCTATTAGCTACTCCTGTAGCTGTTGTAGAGGGTACTCCTATTAGCTACTCCTGTAGCTAAGTTTGTAGAAAGTACTCCTGCTCCTGTTACTCCTATTAGCTACTCCTGTAGCTGTTGTAGAGGGTACTCCTATTAGCTACTCCTGTAGCTAAGTTTGTAGAAAGTACTCCTGCTCCTGTTAGCTACTCCTGTAGCTTTGGTCTACTCCCGTAGTTGACAGTAGAGGACAGGGTAACCCTTAAAAATCACCAATGTTTTAATTTTGTTCATTAAACAGTTTATAAATAGATTTTCACCTTAGGCTATTAATCCTGACCCCCGCTTGCTCATAGTTTATACTTAATGGTGAGAAACCATCTGAAAATATTCAGATTTAAAGAAAGAGGGAATTTTTAAGAACTTCAATATTTTGCAGATAATGTAATCACAAAGTTTATCGCCAGGAAAGTTTCTTGCACTAGTCTCACTTCTCCGTTTAAGTCTCCTAGAATGGAGATTTTATTAATTGAGTTTCTTT